TCCCGATGACTCACCCTCGAAATCCACCCTTCATCCACGATTCGGCGTTCCAGAGCACCGACCCACCATGACCCAACATGACCCCTGTACCGCCTCGAGACACTCTAACGTCGGAGGGACCCTCCGTGTTATTTCTGGTTTCGGAATAAATTTTAGAAATTGAGATAATGCATCGACGAGTATATCCATCCTCGATGCTGTCGACTTTTTATTCCTCCAGTTCCCTCCGGCAAAGGGGAAAGTCGAGATATTGTATCGCGGATTCCTAACTGTTTAGGCTTGTGTTCGTTCCCGGGTGAAAAATTCTGATCAAACCGGAGACATTTGAAATTTTATTATCACGTGTATGCACTTTCCGCCCTAAATAGAGCTAAGGGTGCTTACCGTCTCGATAATCGAAACCGGGTTAAAATTTCCTCCCAATTTTTCGTTTCGTTGCACCTACGGGTCGACGAGCCGGTAACCGGTGCTTTTCATATTATTAACCTGTTTCCTAGCAATTAAGTACCGAATACTCTACTTTCGAAAAGTGTCGTTCGAAGGGAACGGAAGGAACGATCGTAGAATAGGGTAACGAAGCGATGCCTGCGTTGACCACGATATGGTCCAATCCATCGAAACCAGACCGTAAGAGTACTCTTGGAACTTAATACGCGATTCAATTTCTGCTGACCAAACCAATTAATTTACCCCGTGGCATTCATCGAAATTTCCCCGTTATTGCCATTCAAACGATATGGAAACGATTTGGTCTTCGCGGGCTCGATTTGTATGAATCGCGAGGGCCGACGGAGAGAGATCGAGAGACAAAAAAATGGTGGTCGATGCGTAGGGTCGGTACATATCCTGTGGTATTCCGTGGCTAGAGGGGTGGAAAGGCGGACGGAGAAAGGGACAGCCAGAATGAACCGATGCTGCTCGAAATTCCATTCAACTGCAAACGAATGCTCTCTCCTCACCCTGGTTCGGAGATTCTCGTCGATGCGCTTAAATGCCGTACGAAATGAAAGTGCTCCGGTTAACGCCGATTTACGACGAAAAAGAAACCGTGGAGATTTCGCGGCCGCAAGAATCCAATTTTATTCGCGGCTGTCCATTGCTCCTCCGCGTAGGAAAATTATATAAATGGATGTAGATCCGTTAACGGCGTTGTCTCGTATTTTTTGGCTTTCGTTAAAATCCAATAAACCGAATCCGGTCTAGGAGATGCGGTATAGTGGTTAGCCGTGTAACATAGAGAGACCCGGCTTTTATTTGCGATATTGTCCGAGCCTCGGGAGAAAAGTCTCGAGGAAAAGGATGCTCGGGAGGAAAGCTAAAAAATGAGCAACCGGATCGAAAAGAACGCAATCGGATGATCCTGTATCCGGCGATACGAGTATTGGTTTCGCATCTTTAAAGCTCCGTGGCCGGGTCGAATGATCCAGGACTGGCTTCTATTCTTCGATAGGAATGGGACAATGGTTAGCGGACACCCAGCGAAGTAATAGTCATTCTCACCCTTCCTTCCTTCCTTCCTTCCTTCGTCCCTTTTACCACAGTCCCTTCCGACAGCCCCCGCCGACCCTGATTTCCCTCTCTACCTAGTGTTCCCCGTCCCCGTCCCCGTGATCAGCCCTGTTCTCGCACCCGTGCCCTCCCATTCAATCAATACCCGATGGCCGCACACTACTAAACGCCGGGAATCTAAACCCCCCCGCTACAGGACACCGCCACCTCCATCGAGGAGTTCATCCTCTTGTACGTTCCGAACGATTCGAACCAGCTCCTCCGATATCGTTCTCCCAACGGGACCAAAACGATCCTTCTAATCGCTTGCGTTATTTTTTAATATCCGTTTTTAGTCTGGATAAAAGTTGTCAGGCAACGGTCGCGTTGCGTTAAAGTAAGACGATATCGCGAGAGATTTAAACGACTTTACCGTGGCCGTTGCACCCGATAGTTGTCGCAGGAGTAAATATCGAATCAAGCTGGCAGTGATAGACGTTGAGAGTCGAGCGACGCGAAATTGCGCAGGATACGGTAAACCTTTTGCGTTGGAGCGAAGCGACACCACGTATCGTATCCTGGCGAACAACGTAAAACGACGCCGACGAAAACCGGTAGTCTGCAAAGCTTGGTCGCATTAGCCGCGAAGCCGCGACACGCGCGAGCTTAATCGTTCGTGACTTTTGACGCGTGAAAACACACATTCGTAATAGAGTATTTTACGAAGCCTGCGGTCGCCGCCGAGACAGTTTCTTGGTTGCAAATCTGATTCAATAACGGCTTGACGACGTTCGACGCGATAGAATTTATTCGCTTCGTGTTTTCTTATTTCGCACACGGCGGATGCGGACGCAAAATAATAACCCTCCGTGGACGTAATCGCTCGATCTAAAGAGGAACACGATCGTACTACCCGTGGATGATTAAAGCGCTTGGTCACTTATCTTATGCGTGGCAAATCATCGTCCCTTCCGCGGCCCTCCACCCTCCACCCTCCGCCCTCCGCCCTCCGCCCTTCGTAACGCTCGTAATCCTCGAACGATATCGCGATAAGAGCGTGCTCGTCGAACATCTCCGCCAATTTATTATCGAATACATTTTTTATTCGAGTGTGCTGTAAATCTTTCGACCGAGCGATCTATGGTGTCCATATCCTCGAGTAGTTGGAAAATATTATTACGCAACGGCGACTTATAGAATTTGAACAAAGCTCTATCGGTCCAAGCAATTCGTTTTGTCGCGTTACGCGTTGGTTCTCCGAAAGGAGAAAGCATTCCATTATACGGTGAGCCGATATACAACCGTCTAAAATCTGTATCGTCGGCGTTCCTCCTCCAGGATACAATTACCGTGCCTGGTCTACGTACAAAGCCTCTATTTCGACAACGAATTTGCATCTGCGCGCACGAATCGCCGCCGCTTCGGGATCGAATGGCGATCGATGCGATAAACGGCTCTTGGAATCCGTCGTCGGATCGCGCTAAATTCTCGCGATTCTATCGATAGGATCGAACAAGCACCAGGAAGAGGAAGATACCGGCTCTGGAACTAAATTCGAACGGTATTGGGTCAGAGGTTTTAGTCGACCTTTCTATCGCCTATGACGAAACAAACATTCCGCGAACCTGTCCACGTTCTATATTTGATAGTTTTAGGAACTCTTGACTGCTCTTTCGTAATGTACTTTTACGGCACCAAACATCTATTAATCGTATTATACCGTCGTTAAAATAGAAAATTCCCTTCGTCTGCCTTCGAAATGAAAGACGGGGTTGTTTGAGTTTTAATCCAAGTAAATTCTACACTGTATTCTCACCGACAAAGACTGCGACGATCGCGAGAAGAGCATCGTTGCTAACGAGTGTACGGGACGATGTCAGTTTTCCTGTCAGTTTCGCCTTCCATCGCAACTGACACCGACGTGATAATTACCTATCGAGAATTTGTACGTTTCTGTAGGGGGGCTGCCAGCCAGGATAATTTGAAAGGAAACGTTAACCTATCCGGGTATCTCCCGCTGCGACAGGCGAAACCAACGTGCACGTTTGGCACTCCAAGTTGTAATTTCTGCACGGACTCGCCGGGAATCGGAGACCGAGGAACACGGGTTTCTTGGTCCCGGCTAAATTTAGGACAGTGTTGCGTAAGACGCTTTGCGCGTTACGCGCGAACGGAAATCAGTTTCGAAAATTTATGGAGCGATAGAAACAATCGGTTGTTGCGTTACGAGCGACCCACCGCACCGCGGTTTACCTTGCAACTTGCTGCACCAACGTTCGAGATGCAACGCAAAGTTCGACCTCGACGGGAAGGAACTTTGACGATCGATGTAGCCGCTTCGTCGGTTAATTAATGTTCTCCGGTATTTGTACCGCGAGACGCGGCGGGATCGATAAATTAACGTCATACCGGGTCACGAAACCTGACTCGAACAGAGACAATAATTACCAATAATCGGTCGTAATGCGTATTGACCGTTGATATTGAAAACTCTTGGACTTCTCGTCGCAACGAGCGCCTTTCTTTCGATGTGTCGTCGACTCGGAACACAACCATAGAGAGTTATATGAAATATGATCGATCGCATTTTGCCTCGAACGAAGCTCGCTCCAGCCATGTTTACATCGAAGTGGAGAAGGAGAAGCAAGGCAGTGAAAATAGTAAACAGTCCGTGCAAACGATGAAAATAAATGAGATGCAGTTTCGGGAATCAATATTATTACGTTGCGAGATATTATAATGTGCTCTTCCGGCCAGCGACCCGAACGACCACGATTATTTCTACGAAACTATTGTGTAATTTCGCCGTGCAGTGATATTATTTTGCACAGAGATTCGGAAAGAAATTACTGTAGAGTTTGCGACAGTGACGTTTCGCGTGAACGAAATCCAAGTCGAACGATATATTTCCATATACAGAGCATGCACGAGGAGTATGGAAAAGTCGTTGCAAAGAGAACGCGTAAAGTGGAAGAAGCCGAGCTAGGGGCGAGTGGTATTATCAGCATCTACGACGCGAAGAAGGAAGGAACGGAAGGCACTTTGCGCCTTTTCGAGCATCTTATACGCTGCGTCAAATATCATACGAAAATATTACGGACGAAACAAAGAAGTGCCTCTTGTTTGCCTCTCGTTGCGAGGAAAGCGGCGAGAGCTTCTTACGGCGAGAACGAACGAAAAACGAAACAAGAAACGAACGAGAGGATGATAAAGGCTGTACGTTCCGACGTGAACGCCTCTTCCAGGTTGGAAAATCTGCAAATCGTCGAGAAACAACGAGATCGCGATCCTGTTCGTTCAAGTTGCTACGTTACGTTCCAGTTTGATGACCTTTTCGCCAACGGTCAACTCCAACTTAAATTGCAAGTTGACTTTGGCGAATCGGTTGCGAAATTATGCCCTTTGACAGACGCGAGAGATAACCTACGCCGGTTTAAGTGCTTCGAATACGTTCGAAATATGTACGTCTGCTCTCCCTTCGAACATAACGAGAACTTTGCTTTTCGTTTCAGATTTTCGCGACATCGAAAGCGTGTTCCAACGGCGGCGGCGGAGGAGGCTATTCTCCGTTCGGTAAGTACATACGCGTATGTATCTATACTAACGATAAAAAAATTGCAAAGTCAAAAAATTTGTCTTGTACCGTGTATTTTCGTACCAGAAGAAAATATTGTGCAACGATCGTGTACCAAGAGTACATTGCGAGCGACAAGTTCGTAAACTAAATGTCGCGAGAAGAAAAAAGCTTGTCGGGGATCTAATTCGGTCGGGGGAAAAGTGAATGTCGTATTTTCTCTAGACGGGAAACGTCTTCGTCGCTTCTTTCCGACGCTCGTCGTCCAAGGAACGTGCGTCGTTTCCGCGGACGAGGGAAGGATGTCGAACAGTAGCCTGGTAACGAAGGTTACTAGTCACGTTTCGCGTTTCTTTTGTCGTTTTCTATCTCGAAGCGTTCTTAAAAATTGCATTTTCAGCACAACCAAATTTAACGAGTCTTGTTCTTTGCGACAGTATTTTTCTCTTTTCGGTATCTCGTTCGTTTCGTGCGACGACTTTTGACAAACACGTCGGGGAAATCGATAGGCGGGAAACAGCGGGTGGCCCGTACTCGTCGACGATGGTCGACGAGAGCTGCTTTGTTCTCGGAGAATCACGGGAGACTTTCGACCGACGGACCCGAAATAGCCAAGACGAACTTGTAATTTCATCAGAATCAGTTTTATTCGGCCCTCCCGGCAGTTTCTTTTCCCTCGAGGAGAATGCGCCCTGGACCCTTCCGCGCGAGCCAGATGGTTCCTCGCAACGCCGGAACCGTTCGATTTTCCATTACATTCACGACCTGCCATTCGTCTCCACGAGTTCCTGCAGCGCGGCGAACGCGGTCCATCGGTCCATAATGCGTCTTCGATTTTTCTCTTTCGAGGGGATTTTCCTTATAGCGTTGGCTGCCTGTTACTCCGGACGCCACGCCGCGATAAATTATTCAGAAAACGTAGTGCGATGCACGGTTATCTAATTCGTTGCTAATATTTCACCGTTATTTATACTCTCGTCCGGTACTTTCTCGCTTAGAACGTTTGGCCAGGATATCTCTCGTCGTCCCGTCGATATCAAAGAGAAATTTTTCGTCCTCGCAATGCCAACAATTAGCTTTTCTCGAACGCAACCCACGCTCTCGTCGCGAGCGACTGTTGTTCGTTCGGCGACTCGCCAACAGGACGAAAAGCTTTTTCTAAAAACGCTTTCATACGCGCGACGACTTTTAAGCCTTTCATATTCTCGAAAAGAAATCCGTCCACTCGAGCCACCAACTTGAAAACGGCCTTTCTTTTCCCGCCGACTGCGGTTTGCTCGTCTATCGCGACCGAGGCAGCGATTATTCTGGCCAAAGAATTGAAAATTCGTTCTTAAAGGCGGCCGAATAGAAATAGATGTTGCGTTGTCGCGTTACCCTCGATAGAAATCGATTCTCTTGCGATTTGGGGGATCCCACGACGGGGTTCTGCGCGAATTTATTTTTACGGTAGCGAGAAGAACACCTTGCACGGTAATATATTTTAACGCTCGGAACACCAGCCGTAGTCAAGATGGATGGTCTTGATATTCTAATCCATGTTCACGTTTTCCAAGTTGTAACTTTCTTGCGACGTTGCTCTAGCCTTTCTTCGTTCGTAATCGATACCAGATTATTCTTGCAAAACTCGCGTGGCTAAAGAATTGAAATCGAGTTCGAGAAAAGATTTCCAGCCAAAATGTTGAAAATCCTTTAGCGGACAATGAGGGATGTTCCGTGTAGCCATGGCGACAAGCTGACTCATGGGGTAGATAGTCGACGCCGGGAAAGAAAGTCTGTTGCTGACCGATGGCACGTACGGAGGGATGACAAATCCTTGGGCGAAATACCCGTTTGTTGCTCTGTAATTGGTAGAACGAGGAGACCTTACCGAGAAAGATTCGTCTGGATATACTTTATGTGAAGAGTTTGTCGAAAGTGTACGGTATTCTCTATTAAATTCCAATGATAAAGTTTTATTATTTTCGTTCGAGAATATCGTAATATCGACGAGACGGAATCTGAATTTCAGCTACCTGGAATATCTCGAAGGCGATATAGAGCACCCGCCGCGGGATTATCATCGCGGCATCAGAAATGGTTGCGCCCTTTGAAAATAGACTCTTTGACTCTGTTCGTTTCGTTTCTTTCGGCACGATGTCAAACGCGAAGGAGCAGGTTTCATGTTCTTTCGTTCGGGTCAGTATGCAGTCGGTCGTAAGGTCTCCACGGTACCGTTTCCTTCTTTTGAATCCTTTCGCGGCGTAAGACCGAGCAATATCTGGCTAGATAAGAAATTCCGTCGGCGTAATCATCTTGGAAAACCAGCTCCTGTCGTCGAAGAAGCCAAAGAACCGGCTTTGCCAAGCCACGGATAAAAGGAAAAGTTTACCGTGACCCCGAATCGGGAGCCAAAGTAGACCGCAGTCGTCGCCGTTGAATAACCAAAGACCAGAATTAGAATTAGAATCGGAATCAGATACAGAGGCGAGGTTCTTTAATTTCTCGTTACGAATCCAGTGCCGGAAGCATTAGCAGTTTCCTTTTCATGGGATTCGCGACGAGTTCGTTTTCACGGAGCATCGTTTGTAGAACTCCTGACATGCTCTGGATCCAGGAAGATGACTGGAAAATCCGGCATTTAATTCCAGGACGTTTGTCACGCGTGTCACGCGCTTTACAGAGCCTGCACGCGCAGCCAATTCCCTCTCGAGACATTCAAGATTCTCGACAGCACCGAGATCGTGGAAAGGGAGCAGCAATCCTTGTTGCGACCGTTTCCGTTGCTGGCTCGTCTCTACATTCCGATGCTACCATTGCTCGGTGCTAAACTACACACGGGTGTCGGGGCATGGCAACGATCAACGTTACAGCCCAGCAACGGTTTAACCCTTTGGAGTTCAAGTTGGATCGAAAGCTTTTCGAAATTACTGATCTCGATTATTTTCAATCCGTACCGAAATCTCGCAATCTCCTTTGTGTTCGACGATATCTGAACGATCGGCGGCGCGACATGCGCGACAAAGAAATACCTGAAGTCTGCTCGATACCAATAAGAAAGCGTTCGAATATAAAACCAACAGGTCTTGACCTGTAAACAAAGCGACGACCGTGCGAATGCATACAGCTAAATGCAGTTATTGGATTTCCCAGAGGTCAATGTCGCGGAGAAATAGCGTAAACGAGAACGCGTTACGTGCACGCAAGAACCAACAAGCGTCGCGGGATCGATTCGTCGACGAGATGCGTGATACAGACGGTAATCGTGTCCTGTAAAAACGGTATCGTTGTTTTATGGAAATAGATATTGATGAACAAATGTTTTCAAGCGGCCCTAGAAACAAAAATCCATGATATTTCGATCAAGCAGCGAGTCCTCCACGGTCCATTAAATACTCGTTTATCGAAGACCTGGTTTCTCGGCTGAAACGGGACGATGCATCGTCCTGTCCAAGCCTGTAATGTTCGAAATCGGATGGCAGATTGATAAAAAGATGTGTAATCAAGTATATAATTGTTTAAAAATAATCGTGCTGCGGCGTGCGTTCGAGAAAAGGTATTTGTTCCGGCACACGTAGTGGGGCAGTCAACGTTGAAGGAACGAGCGCAGGAAAAGTTAATTTGGCCGTAATAATTAAAGGAACGATTCGAGCCCGACGGTACGGAATAATATCGAGATTTTACAACCGATTAAGAAAGGACTATGGTTAAGAGACGAAGAAAAGAAGAGAGACGCGAAGAATCCTCTGCTAATGACTCCTCCGCTTCGAGGTTGTTTGTAGGTTAGGTAGCTTTTATCTTGGAAAGTAATACCGCCCGGTGGTCGTTTTTATCCTATTTCATTATTTTTCCTTTGTCGTGGTAAACCGCTTTCTCGAGGCTCGGCTGGTGCAGCAGTCTAATGGAACAGATCGATGCCCCGACGATTAGGCAGACGGCCGCATCGAGCGTAACCTCAACTTTGTACATACGCGATTACTTACTCGAGTCCCTAAACCACTTCCCCTTGCGATTCTCGGATTAACTCCTTTTGAACGAATCGGCACGCATATTCGATCGAGCAACGGTTCCCTTCGGAGCAACAAAGCCAAAAGATATCTTATTTCTTGGTAAGGAGACGACTCTTAAAGACTGCGAGACATCTTTGTTCGATAGAGAATGTATCTCGTTTCGTTTTGTTTCTTGTATCAGGGAGTATGGATGTCGAGTCGGTCGGGTGTCGTCCAACTCGACGGTCTCTGTGCGATTCCCTGGAGGATTGCTTTGCCCACGGAACAAAAACCACTCTCCCTCTCTCTCTCTCTCTCTCTCTCGCGCGCGCGCGCGCGCGCGCGGCTTATCGGTTTAATGCGATTCGACCGGTGTTAGGACGTCTTTCTCGTCATTTGACAAACGCAATTTCTCCGAGGATGCACTCTTGGCATTTACAGCGACCGTATAGAGTGTCACTCGCAGGACCACCCTCGTGAAATTACATCCCTCCGTCTTTGTTACGAGAAGAACGCGCTCGTTCAATGCCGGAGATGACTCACGCGAGATTGGCTCCCTCCCGCTCGCTTCTCTATATACTTCCTTGCCTTTCTTTGCAAACAATTCACCGTGGATCGCGAGGTAGCTGCGCAAACGAACACTTTCGCTATTTCTATTCGTAGGTCGTTCGAATTTAAATATTTTCGCATAAATATTTTTCGATGGTTTGATGAGAGGCCCGTTCTTTTAACGGGTAAAGTGCCTGGAAAATGACAGTTAAAAATTCTCGTGGCATAGCTAGTAGAGTGAAGTTGACCAGGCCCGTTCCGTCGGGGGATCTCCCTTGAAATGCTCGTTCGAGGGAAAACGGAGGGAATAGTCGAGTCGAGACACCGAAGGGTAAGAACTACGAAAACAGTCGGTGCTCGAGCATGCTTTTCACCGTCGCGAAGACTTTAACGACTCTTGGAACGGTAACTCGCCCCCAAAACGTTTTTACAACCTTTCGTTTTTCTCTTCTGCTTGGTTCTCCTTGTCGCTGGAAGTCGAAGAACTCGAGCTATCGCCTCGTCTTTGATCCCAGCTGACTCGATACTCAGACAGTTATCGGTTGCATTCAAATGCGTATCGACTCTTTTTCTCTGGAGTGAAAAAACTGTTGGCAGCGCGGCAGCTTGCCGGCCATCAACGAACCGGAACGACTCGTTACGTTTTTCACTAGTAAAACGGATCGAAACTGCTATCGTTTCCTGACAGATTTTATCCCGTTCTTGAGAGTCATTCCTACTATGACCGATCAAACGACCAATATTTCTTTTCCTCTTTTACGAGACAACGTACTTTGAATTTTTCCATTATATGTATAGAAAGTTGTGTTTTGATGCTTATTTGTAAGATATCTTTCTCTCTTATGTCGCATATTTTTTCTTAAAGCATGTATTTTAAAAATCTGTACAAAAATATTCGATCCTTTTACTCTAAATGTGCATACTTAAACTTTGTCGAAATGTTTTAATTTTCATCGGATAGGGGATGAAATGCCCTTTAAAACGAGCGTTCGGACAAGTCGATAGCTTTATTAGTTCCGGAGATATAGCGATTTTAGTTTCGCGTCGATGCGATGGCTAGTTTCGGAGATAGGGTTTGTTTACGTTTTGTTGTTGCACTCGCGCGAGTTCATTGATCTCCCACGCGCGACAATAGTAAACAGTGCGTAGTAAATTCTTGGAAATACTACGCCGAAAGTATGTCACTCGGTCACGACTCACGTGCGATAAAGAGGTCCGACGCGACGCGTCAGACGAAGACAGAGATAGTCCAGATTTAAAAAATCACCTTCTACGTAAATTACGATATCTCGAAAACGAAAAGTCGGATCGACATAAATCAAAAAGCATTTTAAAGGAGAAGCTTCCCCGCTTCTAACAGTGGTTCGATTATGGATGAAACAATAGTAGTTTCGGAACTGCACGCGTCCAAAGTTTAACTACTTTTAATACGCATTGTTTGTTGGAAACTGGAGATTCTCTCCTTTCGTTTTTGCTATACATACATATTATTTGCTATTTACATCGGAAACTGACCAGAATTTGGTACCAAATTTCGTCCAGTTTTTTTACAAAAAAAAAAAATATAAATCGTTCAACCGGTCGTGGCAGACGAGAGAAACGATAAGAATAGAAGTTAAATGGCGCTAAACTAATATTGTGCGTTAGAAATTGTAAACGAAATCGTGATAGATTTAGTGTTAAATCCGCCAGCTTCAGACACGCGATTTATCTCGCGATCAATTCTAGCGTTCGTTTCTCGAGATCTCATTTCCCCGGAAACGAAATCCGACGTTCCGTGTCGTGCAATGTGTCGCATAGCTTGACAACAAGCCATTCTAGGAATTTCAATATCCTTCGAAATCTCCCGATATGATTTTCCTACGTTGCGAACAAATTTCGACTCGCGACATTGTCGTGGTGTAATTTTTTCTGCTTCTAGGATGCTTTTATGCTATTTGCATCGGTTGACAATATTCGAGTAAACCAAGGCTTGAGAACGGAATGCCGGAAACTTGCCAGGATTTGTTGCCTAATGTGTTGTAATAAGAGGGTTATTAAATGGATGTACGCATAAAATTTTGATAGGAGAAAAGCAATTTATTTCAGTTTGTAGACGCTGTCGTAGCCACAGCTTCTCCCCTGGCTGGTTTTCCTCGTTGGTCCGTAATTTCGGAGTTCCATTTTCTCCGTTCTCGTATCCTTGCACGCGCCCGCAACATCGACCGAGGTACCGTCGCTTTGTTAGCAGCCACGTGAACGTAATCGATCGGTTTTCAAAGTAAACGCATCCATCAAGCATCGTGAAAAGCACAAAACCAGACGAATAGGTTCGTTCTTTTTATTTAGCGACGCGGCGGTCGCGTTGCTGGATTTCGGCGACAAGGAAAGCTTTACACGCAATATTTCCATCGATTAACTGCAATTTCTCCGTCACGATTCACATCCACGTCGCGTGCCTGTCGTGTATTGCGCGCAAATACAATTCTTTCCCCCTTTGGAGTTCGCGAAAGGTGGCTTTTGCATCGGTCCTTTCCGGCTATCTCGCAGTCTACGCAATAACGGTAAAAATCCTTTTTCCTTAGATACGGAAGGCATATCGTTGCTTCGTAATGATGTTTGCACAACCCTTGCGAGGGCATTTCCGAGATAATTAACGTCGGTGCCGGCATTTCTTAACGAGACGACGAGGGTTGCGCACCATTATCTTTGCGTCGGCAGCAGGATGCCCAGGATTTTTAATTAACAGAGAAATTCGCTAGCCATCTCCTCTGGTGCTTTATCGGTGACGAAACTAACACAGACCCGTGGACGTAGACGCGACAAAATTAACGTTTCAACGAGTGTCGTCGTAGAAACAGGCAACGACTAAAAAATTTCAATAGACTAATCGCTCGAAAGTAGATCGAAAAACGTACACCAACGTTCGCCAGTTTAGGATAATTGGGAGCTTCGATCTGTGGCGGTTTGCTGCTGTACAGAGGAATGGTAAAGCGAGATGGCCGATTCTCGAGACCCGTATTCGCATATCGCGTCCAAAAATTGATCGCCAAAGGTCGATCGATCCGACCAAGTCAGCGAGTGGTGCAGAGTCGACGGTGACGAACGTGCATAGTGTCTGTTGCCAAAGAGGCAACGGTTAACCCAAAGGTAGAGGGGTTCTGAAGGACTTTGAAAGAGGAACCGAGGAACCGAGGGACCGAGGTCGTAAGGGCACTAGAATTATCACGGTACGCTAGCCCCCCCTCTGTTCCGAGCCTTTTGTGCGACAGACTCGCGCCTCTGATTGTCCTCAGCCGCAACCGCTCCTCGATCGTTTTCATCGTTATCGTCTGTACGACAGGAAACGCATCGAGCTGGACGCGACAACTAACAACACAGCATGCGTTTTACGCGAACAATGCCGCGAGTTCCTTTACCGCGAGCGACTTTTCCCGTCCATTCCATTTCTAAATCACTCCACTTACGAGCAAAGTGTTCTCCGAGCCATTATTCTCGATACTCGAGGCAGCTCGAGTCTTTATCCCCTATCGAGGAATAATTAAAGATAGCCAACGTAAGTAAAAATGTACTCTTGATCACCGACACGCTAATCAATCTGCGTGACGGAAAAACCAAATTACCAAATTACCAAATTACCTATATTGAAAATCATTTATTTTTAATTTCAGGTTATTATAACGAACGTATAGCTTGAATTTTTTACTCGGTCATATTTCATAATCACTGGTTCGTATTACTCTTGAATTGTATGCGCGCACGGACCGGTATTGACGCGCCGCGGGCTACGCGAGGCTTTTACCAGAAAAGGAGAATTTTCGTCGCTTCCCTAAGTTGATATTCACGAAAAGAAAAGCGGGCGGCGTTCTAAATACTCGAGAAAGATGGTCGAGATACGATCTTTATTGCTAAATGTCTCGTAGCTAGTGTTGAATATCCGAGCCAAACGGCGGAATTGGTGGCGTATATTTTTCGTTTCTATGTTTGCCCGAGGAGCGTTATTAAAATCGTTACGTAACACGCGATACTCTCGTTTACAAGTTACCACGAAAAGCAAACCGAGCTCGTAAAGGTTGCGCAATCGAGAATGTCGACGGTACGGTGTCCGGGCGTCTGATCAGTTACGCGGTACGTTCACTGGAAAGCAGACGTAACTTGCGTGTGGCGCGTTTACGCGTTTCCACGGCAAAGAAAGGATACAGGAGAAATAAAAAAAAAACGACGTCCAGATCGATTACGCGCATTTGCTGTCCGTATTGCGGGGAATGTCGACGATTTCTATTTTCTTTCGCGTTCTTTCCCTCGCCCGTTGAATCGTTTGCGCTTTCTGTTTCAGGCGCTGTCACCGCCAAACATGCCAGAACATCGAATCGATTGTTCCGAACAAGCCTGCTCGAAACTTTAGAGGACCGGAGACGAACGAAAAAATCTGGTAAAGAATTATTTGCTTATACAGCGAACGAGCGAATGACAATTATTCGTATTAATATTATTGAAATTTTACTCTTTCTTTGCTTACTCGAACCAAAACTCGCAAAGGTTCTTTTTACGGGGAAATTTAGTCTGCGATTCGCGAAATGTTGCTTCGTTCGAGTGTTAATTAATATATTTAAGTGGTAGAGACAGAGCGAGAGAGAGAGAGCCGTTAATCGAGCAAAGACTACTCGAAAGCTCTCGCAAGCTACCGAGGAGTACATACATACTTTTGCTCTCGAGTTAATCACCGTAGCTCGGATGCGGTATTCCCGAATACAGTTAAATACTCTTTTGAACGGCTCGAGAGGAACTCTTTTTCCGGGACGTACCGCTTCAAGTGCGTTCGTGTACGAGCAACAACTATTTACCGAAAAGGAACGGTACGTAGGTACGGAAACGAGTCTGTTATTGCATTTCGTTCGACGGAGGAATAGTCTCGCGAGCGATTAGACATTATTGAGAACAGAGATCGCTCAATACGCACCGTCGTACGCTTCCATCTTGAGATTTTATCGCGAAACGAATCCGGAAAAGACCGCCGTAAAACTCTAACAGTTTTACAGCCCGTTCTTCGCGAAGGGACGGAACGACGGCAAGGGTCTCGGGGCCAGAGGCACGCTAGAAGGGCTGCTCGAAAGTTGTAAATTTTAGACGAGGGCAGTGCGCGTTTAATTGCTCGCGTATGCTAAATCGAGAACGAGCTAGTTTTTTTAACCATTTTCGCGTCGATCGACGATCAACTTATTCTTTTTTTTTAACCTTTCACCACCGCGGTGAATCGCTCGAAACGAAATCACAAACATTTCGGATCGAGCGGCGTTGAACGAAAAAAATCGATAATGCTGGGAGGGAAAGCACGACGAGACGCGGTTATTAATATTTTTGCATAACCGGTGCTCCGAGAGCTCTCGAGCCTCCTGCGACGCGATAGAAAAACAGAAACAAGCGAGGGGGAGAAAAACGGGGAGTCTCCCAGGAGATTAAATTGCGCGGAAAATATAAATCGTCGAAATGCTCCATAAGCGGGGAACGATGACTCTCGTTTACAACAACCGCAGGATTGAGTTCGTATCTAATGGATCGACGCGTATTCGTTGCTTCTCTAGAACAAGATGTCAATGACTGGAAGCTTGATGGGTTACGAAAACAACAACGAGGTAAACCAAGCGAAATATAAGAAGCCACTGAAGCCACTTCCGATAGTGTCGAGCGTGAACTCGAGCGGCGTATCCACGACCAGCAAAACGAGAAAGCCGGGATCGCGTAGATCGTCGAAACGGAACTCGTGTATACGGGGCCACGTGAACAGCCTGTGGTCCGTTTGGTACGGCATCTTGGCGGTTGCTTTCCAAACTTACATCGGTTTGAGATACACCAAACGGTTTGCAGGTGAGTCGACAAACGTCGAGGTTCTTTAGCTTGGATTTTTTCAGCCAACGATATTACTATTACGATTACTTTTACAGCATATTTATCGTTACCTTGGCCCGCGGATGCGCCGCCGCCAAAGGTCGAATTGTACGCCTGTTTGGTGCTAGCCGGTACCGGAGTGGTTCTACTCCCGGTTCTCCTTGGCGCGGCGTTTCTCAAGCTCGGCAACCTGGCCAACGATGGAATAAAGCTCGGTCGTCATTTGAGCGCGTGCTCCCGCGATCCACCGTCCTCGCTGCTCACCAACAATCCCGACAACAGTGAGCGCATTTCGCTTTTTAGTTGTATTTCCATTTCGAGACGTTCCCTCTGGTCCGAAGCGAGCCAAACGGGGACCTCGGTCAACCTCTTTAATTTCTTCACAGGCCTAGCGAACAATTTATGGCGACACGGAGGTCCTACGGCGGCATTCGTACACCTTTGCACGGCCATGTGCTTCCTGCTGCCCTCGCTGCTCATGGAGGCCAGGCTTATACACGCTGGATTTTTACCAAAAGGTAACAAACCGATCGACTACTTTTCTCCTATGGCAACGCTATGGATTTCCAAGCGATCGTAGTTGTATCTTGAACTTGTCGGAAAAGGCTATTGTCGTAGCCCTTGAGACTTTTACATCTTCGAAATCATCTCCCAGAGAGAATTTATATTATGGTCGACAAACGTTTGTCGTAACATTTAGAAGAGACAAAAGAACGATAACGTTAAACCCGAGGGTAGGTTAGTTTTACACGGAACCCGAGTCTGACGCGATTCGGCCCGAAAGCTTTTGCACTCGACACCAAACATCCTCCGCCGGACGACCAACGACGCGACTCGAGACTTTGAAATTACTATAGCGGCGTCAGCCGTCGTCGCTTCGTGTGTGCGGCAACTTTTCGAGATAACGCGAAACTTTTGACGTTTTCGTTTTGCCAACGACCGCGGAAACGATTCGCGGCGTGGAAATACGTTAGACGACGAGCATGCTCTCCGGACTCGGTGCACCGCTACTCTAATATACCTTATGTTCCGTTATCCCAACGATCTGTGTCCCTTTGCTAACTTCTGCATGGTTCGCGACAATACGCCGTGGAACCGACCACGAATTTCCCGTATGATGGACGATAACCTGAAACGATACGCGAAAGAGTTATTCTCCCGAGCAGAATTAGCGACGCTAACTTTCCTCCGAGTACCATCGAAACGAAATTTCGCAACGTTTATCGTACACGTCTCGCTCGTAAAAATACTACACGAAACGCATAAATATGCACCGTGACAAAGTTCGACGATGAATATTTCAACGAGCACCGCGTTAAACTTGATCGTGACAAACTTCACCCTTGAGATATCGAGCGAATATTATAAATATGCAACAGGATAGAAAATTTAATGACCCGCGGTCGAGCAAGCGTCCCGTTAATTAATTTACTCTCTGAACATTTTTGGCCGTCAAACGCGTATCCAGCTCCCGGCGAGCCCGCGAATGCAAAGCAGATTTAAACTTTGGAAAATGTTAATTCGCCTAAGAACGAAACAATCGGCGCGAATGCAAATTGAAAAGTCCAACTGTAGAGAAATAACTCAGTTCGATGAAACGCGAAAACTGTATCGCGATAACGCTGTACTGGAAAGTTTACGATGATTTGTGAAACTGCGTAGCTCGTGGTTTTGGTTTAAAAAAAGAAAAACTAGGAAGCGAAGAAAAGAACATTCGGCCTCGCGTTTCGGTATTTTTCTGCCAGTCAGTAGTATAGGTCAACGCCTGGTCGTACAGACCGAGTACATGCACGCGTATCGGCAACGTCCGTGAGTCTGAATGTTTCGAGTGCCGTGAGCACGACACGAAATTGCTTTCAAAACCGTTTTGGACGTTCTTTCGAGGTAAAAAGATTTAACGTGTAATAATAACCGCGTAAAAGATCGAGTTGCCATTTCCAATTAATTTTCGTACAATTTAGTACCGAATGAAGAATTTCAAATAAAATATCATCGTACAAAGAATCGTATTCTCAATTAAAAGGTGGCGACTTAATTTATTAAGTTTATTTCTTCGCAAAAGCTCCGAGACTTTTCTTTCGAAGCGGGTCACCTTTGAAAAAATTCTCACAGCCTAACGAGACCGAGGAAACATCTCGCTGAACGTTTACACGACCGGTAAAGTTGTTTGCAATATTGAAATAGAAGGTAAACATTTTCCTTTGCATCTGGTTGGAATCGTAAGACCCATCTTGCATCGTCTTAACGTTACAACGTTTTTAACGACCAACCTGTACAACGTGTACACCAGTTTCTCTTTTCCTGTCGCGGTAATCGATCGCTCGAGTCGAGATCATTCGCAAAGTTCGCTTCGTTATACCTGTTGAACACTCGCTAACGAGTGGATTTCTCGAAAGTTAAAAGTAGCGGAAAATTTCGTAGCTTTTCGACTCGTCTCTCTTTGGGCGCAACTGTCTCGACGTCGAAGCGTAAATAATTAGAAGACGGTTTCCTTTGCTCTGCGTAGAATGAAAGACTTTCGACTAAATTGCCTATTCGTCCTGCGAATCTACGGGCGAAGCAGAATTCAAGTTCTCGAGAAAATATTATCTATAGGATAGACATTTTGTCCGTTTAATGGTTCGTTGTTCGATCGCGTACACGCGTTACGGACAAAGAGGAAAAACATTTCCACGAAACGTTGGAGTTTAATCGGCATCGTTTCTGTTTCGAAGCGCATAATAGCCAGAGTAGAACGATTCGCGCATGGAGAAACGGGCGGTCGGGATGTAACAGGGCAACTTTGTCCTGACTACGTTCTGGTTCGTGTATTGATCGGGCAGGTGTGTGCATACAGTTTGCTGCAGGATTCGCCGTTCGTGGAATCCTTCCATCTCGAATCGCTCAACCGAGTTCAAAGTTAGATCTCGCCCCGATTTCCATCCATCTCGTTCCTTTCGTTAAATTAATTCGCGCTTAATTTGACCAAACACCAGCCAGCGACCATTCTCTTCCCTCGAATCGCGTTTGTTCCCAGCGAGTCTAATATTTATCACGATTCAAGGCACAACGTGTGTACGCGTAAGGAAAATCCAGCATTCTTTTTGCAACGAAATTGCTTGGAATACCGCATTTAATAAGAACATTTAAATAGAGGGTGCAGCGCGCGTCTGTAATTCGGTTAGCGAAAGAGAAAAGTACATTTCTAGATTGACGCAAAGACGACGAAAGTAGCAAGAAGAAAAGAACCCCTCGTGTGACTCTTTCAATTTCATCTTTCCGTCGTATATTCGTTCCTCGTACCGGGCTATTTATTCTTTTTAATCTAATTTCTGGCCAGAAATGTTTCTAGAACTTAGTATCCTTGATTTTCGTCTTATCTTGAATCTCCCATTGAACACCCTGTATATGTATAACAAGACAATGTGTCTATACTATGAAGGACCAGGAAAGACAATTTTCGAAAATTTTTCGCTCAATTTTGTAACTTGGATGCTCCTTTGCTGTTTGTGCCCTCGTTTGCGCCACGCCTCGGTTGATTTTGTTTGCGTTGCAACGCGGCACGCAGGCTTGATTGCGCTGCTCCGTTCTCCGACGACTCGATTCTACGGACTACGGCCTTGATCGAATTAAATCCTAATTGGTTTGCATAAAATTACGGCGGTTAACTTGGACAAATCCAGCTCGGACCTCATCGTCGCGGTAGATTTTCGCTCGTGTGAAAATAACCACCGTCGAACAGAAGAGCGACCGACCGGTCAAGCGGTCCGATTACCCTGAAAAGCGTAAATAGTAATCGTAGCCATCGCGTACCGTATGGGTTGTAATCCGATTTGCGTAGGCGTCGCCGAGCGTGGGTGATTGCGCGCTGCTCGTACAGGCGTCTACGCGTATATCGGTTCGACGTATTACCAGTCGGGACGCGCAAAATGCCAAGTGGCTCTTTTGTGAAAATACGTTGCCCGGGGTAGCGTCACCTGCACCAAAGGTCATTGTCACGACCCACCGAGTCGAGTCGAGTCGAGTCGAGTCGAGGGTTGGAAAGAAGGATACCAGAATGGGTGGCGCCAAGGTAAGGTTTGGTCGGAGCCAGCTAACGGGGATAGTTGGTTTCCGTCAACAGTCAACCACTCCCGCATTCGTGAACTTGAACGAGACTTTGCCGTCTCGGTCAATTTCCCTCGGTCTGCTCGCATACGGCTCGACGGTATATTTATCTCTGTCGGAGCAGACGCTCCGCGACGAACAAAAAGGAAAAGAGAAGAAGAAGTTTTCGACTTTGGAATCAAATTTTTAGTAGTTTTTCTTCGCCGACGGACAGAGGATGAAATTTAATGAAATATTTATAATCGCGTCGATTATACGAAAGAAACTGTTCTATTAGGACGGTATCGGTAGGAAACGATAGGACACGACGGGAAGCTGGCTAATCCGACTTAAAGCCAAGGGATTTTCGAATTTTTTCTTCCTTCCGCAGCTTTCCCTTCTGGCGCGATCTATCCCCGTCCGGAATCCGGATTAAAAGTACGAAACCGCGGGAAGAAACGAGATAGGAAAAGGTTAATCCTGTAAATGTAATTACGTCCTATCCGGGAAAGTTGAAGCGAAACAAGTGCATTCGTAGATTTCTAGGTTCGCGCGTATCGGATAGACAGCAACAATAGTCTATACTTATACGTTTCAGGAACCGTCGAACCGAACGCGATATACAGATTAGTCGGGTTAATCGTATTCGTCTGTTAGATCCACCGCGCAATAGTTTGCCTCGAATTATCGATAATTCGATTGCAACACGGAAGATGGGATAACATCGCGGCTTATCGTTTATTCAACCGATCGATTATCGGCTGATCGACGACTAAAGGCGAATTTCCTGCTTTACAGAAGCGATATGGCGCACGGACCTGGATTGGGTAATGATTCAACGCGATCGACTGGTTGTGTCTAGCTTCTTGAATCCGAACGTGAACCTTAGCGTTCTGACCGGTATCATAACTCCTCAACCTTTCGTTACTTTAACGCCCGACGAGGAAAGCGGCGAAGCTGTCAACGATATCATCGCGACTACCACGCCAGAATTGTCCGGTATCGTCGATGACGTCGTCGAGTCGCGCACCCGAGATACCGTCAACAAGTTTGTCAACCAGTTTCGTTTTACGAGTACCGGCCTACCTCCATCCATCGCGCGAATTTTGAACTCAAACGCAGCTTCGATCGCGACCACCAGCAAGGCTACAACCTCCGCGATGCAAGGCACCCGTAAAACATCGGCGAAAACCATTGCAACGACAACGATCAAATCTACGACTACGACCCCGACCCCGACCCCGACCGCGGGATCAACGACGACGACGACGGCGACGACGACGACGACACCGACGGTGGTAACGATCACAGAATCGACCGCACCAACCGCTTTTACGTCGACGATCGCACCGACGACTACGTCGACCAGAATTATCAAGGGTACCACGAGCAAATACGGCATCACCTCCAAGCGGACGACCTCGAAAACGATCGTCAGAAATAATTCCAAGAGCAGATCGAAGACGAAAAGTCTGGGAAGAACTTCGACGACGATCAGACCGGCTAGAATCGCTACCGGAGGAAATCTAACGGCGCAGAGTATGTCGTTGACGATGAACAGTCTGGCCGATTTGGATCATCCGGAACAGCTGGATCTCGAATTCGAAACCGGTAAGAATGCTGGAATTGGAATTTTTGCGAGAATCCTGTTGTATGAAAATTTTGTCATTCTTTTTTGCAGCCGGACCCATTACTCTGGAATACTTGAATTACGCTGTTGCTCTTGGAGTCTACTCCGTGAGGTATCCTGCAGTGTTCTGGTCGTGCAACAAAGCTCTCGGCACGATCTTTAGCGTCCAGTTGGTTCTGAACGTTGCACAAAGCTTGTTAGCTTTCGTTGGAATGTCCGTTCTCTACAAGGTGAGTCGTTCTCGACCAAACAACGATTTGCTCGTTACACGATCGTCTACGATGTTCACAGATTCAGGTGGTAGGTCCCTTGAAAGTATTGCCTGTTCTTCGGCAACAGTATCGAGCGGTATCCAGTACCAGCACCATATCGACCATTTTCGGAGATTCGTATTTCTTATTGAATCCACACGTGACTCTCGTTTTGTTTGCTCTCTCCTCTCTTCTGGTGCTTTGCTCCAGCATGGTGATGTACTTTTACGCTTACGGCAGGTAAGAAACATTTCCCGATCGCGAGAGTGATCCGAACGAACGTAGAACGTGACGAATCGTTTTGTAACTGTACAGATTCACGGCGTTCCTGAACCAGGAACGCGAGCGTCGGGTGATCTTGTCGAAAGAGAATCGCGAGGGGAACGGTTGGGTATACTTTATCCATTGCACCGCCCTGTGCGTCTTTTTGGCGATCGCGATCTGCAGCGCACCGTTGCTCTACGACTACAGCGTGGTGTATCGGGCCAGCTTGGACGGCGCGATCTTGGCCTGCATCGTCGCCACCGTTCTTCATCTTTTTCTTTGGCTGCTGCTATGGATCTGCCTCACGATAAAGCAACGCTGGACGTTCAAACTGAGAGTGACGATCGGTCGTGCGACGGTCAGGTCGGCGAGATCGGTAAAGCTCGTGACCGACGTTGATCTAGTGTCGGCCAGGGACGACGAGGACGGCATCAGTGCTCCGCTATTGGTCGTCGGGAACGGTAGAACTTACACCATCTCCGACGCCTCGCCGAAAAAGGCCATCATGAGCGTGATACAAAAGGCGGCCATCGAAAGGAAAGCACGCTCCCAAGGTATTTCTCGATTTCACAGGTATACAGAATCATTTGTGCCGTTCGGTTTCTTCCGTCTTATTTTTGAAACGAATAATCGTTGACTGGACCTAGACCAGATGTATTTTTCGTACGTTTATTTATTGACACGCGTACAGGAAACGCAGATGCCGCGGATGGCGAATCGACGGCCGACGACGAACAGATCTACTGGTTGAGGCCGAAATTACGGCCGTCGCCTACTCAGTCGACGAGCGACGCCAATGGCGCACCGACGACCGATAAGAGCTGGCTGAACAAGAAACTGAAGCCCAAGGTCACCTTTAACGACCTGCCTAGTACGTCAGGCTCGCGGTAACTACCCTCCTCCCTCCTCTTGGTGTCTTTCAGTACATCTCGCTGTGCCCGTGCCCGTGCCCTTTGCTTTTCTTTCCTGCCTACAAACTCGATTACCCTAAACGCGCCGATCGAACTGGTTTCTTGTCCACACGCACACGCATACACTTTCGCTTCGATCCGATAATCGCAGTACGTGCGATTATTGTTTACTTTCGCCTTCCGATCCGCTTGGGAACTCTACGCTTCCACCGCTACGTGCTAGTATCGTTGCGATCGGTGTGTATTTACCCTCGGCTCTCGATATTTATCCTCGTAGCGGGCGTGTCGATAATCTCTTATAGATTTTTCAATGTTCCCCCACGTTGTATCTACTCCTGATCTACATATGTGTGCGTCGTAAAAAAAAAAGTATCGTCGACAAAACTCCGTCGACTCTTTGAGGTTCTCTCTCTTCCTTTCTCTGTGTTCTCCCTCTCTTTCTATGTCTGTCTCTGTCTCTGTCTCGCTTTCGGAATAAAATGGCAATTCTGGAGGAAATACGACGAGCCGCGGTCGTTGTAATTGCGCCGGCAGCGGTTAAATTTCAGGAAAAATTGCCGGGAATCGAACCGCAAAGAGTTAACGGTTGCGTATTGCGACCGGTGACGTTGTCGGCTGGTAATTAGCCACTTTCCCTTGCTCGTGCCTGTGTAATTTTCCGTTTCGCTAACCACTCGATAAGACATACATACCGATCGTACTAAAACTATTTAATCCGATCGATATCGCTTTTCTTTTCCTACGCTGATTGGCTTCGGCAACGACGAGCCGTTCGGCTCGATCGAACGATTCGCATTATTTGCGAACAATCGACGTTGGGAAACCATCCCTCTTACCCTCGTTAGTAGTCGCTGGATACGTCGGTCCGACAAATGCATTCAATGCATCGTACGTTTGGCGCGTCTGTGTTTCAGTAATAAGGGAAAAGCCAGACGAGGCGGTGGCGGTCCCGGTGCCGGTGACCAGGGCGGGCCTGAGGATGACGGAGATTACGCCACGCTACGGGAATTACCGTTGATAACGTCTCTGGATCCCGCCGACGATTCAACGTCCGAGGAGAACAAGGTACTCGATTCCTTCTATCCTTTTCACGGCTGACTCCGTCACGAATCGAAATCAAGTATTTCGTTTAACCCTTTCGATCGTGAGTCGGTGAATACCGACAGAAAGAAACGAGAGCGCGACCGAATCTTTCCACACGCTTGCCACGCACTTTGCATCCTCGTAGTCTCGCGCGCCGAAAGGGTTAAAGCGCGAGTGCATCGGTTTTATAAATCGCAGCATGCAGCTATATCGAATTAGTCCCCAAAGATAAGTTATTCGTGTCGGACCCATTCTCTTTATCGGCTTTTAATTTAGTTCTGTTTTGCTTTAACAGTGGGGAAGATGGCTGATATCCCGTAGGGACGGTATACCTAAATTTGGAGACGTAAGACGTACAAAAATGTGTTTGTCTTTTCGTACCTGCGCTTCCAAGTAACGAACATTAACACGCGTATTAATCGCTCGTGCGTGTCGTTTGATTTTTTTTATTAACAAGATTAGCGTAGAGCGCCGATTTTGCCGTCCTACTCTCTATCAATTCTTCTTTCTCCGTTGCGAGACCAACCGACGATAATTTTAAGCTAATATTCGGACGATAGAATTTGCAACCACGGAGCAGCACGTCGACGTTCGAATACGATAGATTTTTCGCACTCGTGTCTCTTTCTCTTTTTTTTTTTTTCTATAGAAACGTTGGAGCTGCCAATATACTTACTGTGAAAATAATCGTCGATCGAACGATACGAAAGTCGCAAACTACAACCATCTTCGCTTCCTCCGCGCACAAATCTCCTACGTACGTTTCTTTCGCTTTCCACCGTCTTCTCTCTCTTACCGTTTCATTTTTCCTACTTTTCTCGTTAGACGTAAAAAATCCCTGTTAACCGAACGCAAAGCGCGTCGCATTGCGAACTTGGATTAATCGTCAACAATTTGCAACAATTTCAACAGCTGCTCGAGTGCGTGAACGACGACCAAGTGACTTACTATGCGAGTGCGAATCGCGATCTACAACCCTCGGAGGGTGACCCCTCGCCCCTCTTAACCCCCGATCCTCTGTCCGATCCTAACTCGGAGCCACTTCCACTGCCACCTCCGACTCCAACTTGTGCACCGACCACCGAAGTTATCACGGCGCCACTAACCACTGACACCCAGGTACTAAAAGTCTTAACGTGTTCACCGTGTTTAATCCATGGGTGAGCAAACCGTGATACACGTCGATTAATTCGAATAGGATATGATAACGGTTCCTTTGACCGGCGATGGTCATTGTTTGCTCACCCTTCGCTTAACACCGATACCGTTCGTAGTCTTGATCGTTGTAAATAGGTGTGTTTATTGTCCGTAAATAGTATAAATCGAACCGAATGAAAATGTTTGCGCAACGTAGGGAGATCGAGAGCGATTGATTCGAGAAGGAGTTTCCGTCGATCGTTACGTGATGAACGCTATCGCCGTATCCATTATGTATGTATATCGTTGTAATTCCTCTGGATCTCCGTACGATAGGATAGGAAACGAGAGCGGTGTTCCCATTAATATATCGACGATACGTCGACGTGTTCGGTTCGTTTCAGACGATCGGAGGACAAACGCCGCGCTGCTTGCGCCGTGCGGACTCGGGTATGCCCCACGACGAGCTGACGCCCCGCTCGGATTCCTCCAATTCGCCGCCTTTGGAGGCAGTGGGTGGAAGCAGCGGAGCCGGTTCGGTGACGGGTCACAGCAACACCAGCAGCCATAGCGAGACCTCCTCGAGCGGTGTGCACAGTAACGCGAGCAACGCGAGCAACGGTAGCTGCCAGCGTCGCGCGACCAGCGTGGACGATTTGACCGGGGAACCGCGGCCCGGCGAAGAACCGCGCGAACAGTGGCGCAGTTGTTCTCTTCAACGTGGCATGCAACCACCGACGGCAACTTCCGGTACTTTCTCGCCGCCGACCAGTCGTCCTAGCACCAGCCAATCCTTCTCCTCGCCGCAGTACGTGAACCACGTACCGCTGATCGTGAACGCGAACGGTACCGGTAACGCGAACGTCGACGCGATCGTCGGTTCGAGCTCCGGGTCCGGGTCTGGCTCTGGCTCCGGTCCCGGCTGTCCAGCCGTTATCCTGGAAAACCCAAACGAAGCGACCGTCGTGATACGTCGCAAGCTCTCGAGAACCAAGCTGACGGAACCGTTGAATCCCAACGAGGAGCCGTTCGGTCGTTCCACCAACATGAGGATGACGTCCTTCACGGAAAGCAACGACATTCGCGTTCACGCCTCGTCCGCCACCCTGCCCCACTATCCCACACAACCCGCCGTTACCTATCCACATTGCTCGACCATGCCGTTGCCCCATGCCTCCCACAGCATGGCTGGCAACCACATGAGCGGATCGACGGGAAGCTGTGGCTCCGTGCCCAGGCACACTTTCGTCGCGCATCCGCCCCACGGACACGCGACGGTTCCCGCCCACACCACTCTGCCATCCCATCACAACGGCGTCAGGCTTCTGCACCCAGTACCCCCGAACAATCCCTTCGTGAAGAGGTTCCCACCGGTGCAGCTGCACACGCAGCCCTGGGCTCTTCCGGGCCATCATACTTTCCCCCAACAGCCCCAAACTAACGGGAAACTCTCGGTGGCCGCTCAGATCAGACAAACCGATCGCGACTCGGCCAACTTTTCCATGGCCAGCAGCGGCGACTCCGACACGTGTTTACCCCATTAAGCGTCTCGCCCCATGCCTTCGTTTCGCGCGGAACAAACTCCTTCGAAAGATCGGGCACTTCCTACCAGAGAAAGAAAAGATTTACGCTCCCAACGATTATTTCGTATTTTCGATCGTTTGAGTGTAACAAGCGACGCTACATATCATACTTTTCTGATCCCCATCCAAGAGAAGAACCTCCCACCGACGCGTATAAATTCTATTTTTAATACAAACATCGTCCATCGAGACGACACTTTTTCCAACTTCCATATCAACGGTACCTCGATGCTTCCGTGAAAGTAAAAACATTTTTCCATCGACCGTCTTCGTGCATACACAGACGTACACGTTTCGAAATTAAACATATCTCGCGGTCCGATGCTCGTACTGCTAATCGTGATCGATTTTTCGGGGCGAAATCTTTTCTCTCTCCCCAAAGACTTTACTCTCCGATTAGGAACGGTGAAAGATAACTCTCCTGTCCCTGTTTCGCACGTAAACAGGCTGCATTTATTTTAACACGTATACTGTACCGATCGCGAATCGATGTATCGACGATCAGATCTTTCCGAGTCGAGAGCGAACCGCGCGAAACGAACATGTTGTTCGCGGCGATGGCAGGCAAAAAAGATACGCTCGCGACCGAATTTAAAGAACGAAGCGAGTATAGCGAGACGTTGTAGTAGCTACTTGACTTGATTTCTCGCGGCTTACTAATAGGAATTACTCGGATCGGTGGTTCCTACGTAACAATCGAGAACGGCACACGACCGGTGGTGTACCGTTTCTTTCTTTGCGAATACCCCTCATTATACTCGGGTATTCTGCCTATATAATTAACGATCGGGTAAGACGCATCTCGCACGTGCTGTCACGTATAATATTTTCAATTCTCTTTCTCTCCATCTTAATATTTTCTATCTCGAGTCTCGATCTCGATCAACTACTGTGTCTTTCATTTTCTTTTTTTTTTTTTCTCTTTCTTTACATTACTTCTTCGTCTATTTATACATTTATTTTTCTTTTCTTTCCCGTTTTGTTTTGTAAATAAAATTGTTGCTAAAAATTTCGTAAGTTATGTTTCCGTCTTCCGATTATCCATACGTTAAGTAGATAATACAAGATTACCGAAAGAATACGTTGACTCTTGAAGCTATCGTGTCGATCTTTACAGTTTGAATCGAAACGAACGTGCGTCGAGCAAATAAAGAGAATATTTATACCGGTTGGATGTATCGAGATCGATCGAAACCAGCGACCGATCTATAAACGTTGAAACGGCTCGATATAACGAACGTTGGATGAGGTCAGCACGTGGCGGGCCATTTAGGGAAGGTTAAGGGAACGATTACTGCCACTAATTGCGAGGATCTATGGATCTCTGTTATACACATATATTTACTTGTTTCATCGACTGCCATGTTATTTCGTCCTTTCGCGAATTTAAACGTTCAAGAAGCGTTCGTTGCACTCGCGATCATTCGCGGGTATCGATGCGTTTAAACGCTTCCTACACTAGTTGAAATATACATTTGCTTTCCTTTCGCGACTATATAACTCTCGTCGAAGACGCGCGAGACGGCAGATACCTCTGACCTCGCGAGCATGCGTCGCGACCAGGCTCGATCAGAGAACGAGAAGATCGTTTCGATTTCATTTTAAAACGCCACATCCGTTTGGAGAGTTTAGCGTCTACGTTAACAAGAATTACTTAATATTTTTAACGCCGAGAGTATACGGTTAAATGATCATTATCGCGAAACGAATTGATTACGGAGACACGCGTGTTTATCGAATCTCTGTAAGCGAGCGGCGGGCCTAGCTGGTGGGCCCAGTTTGCGATAGAGCCTGATCGCGACATACATACATTTTCTATAGAACGCGTTTACATTACGCGCCTCGTGACTGCGACCTCCGCGCAGTCTGTTCGCGGTGTTAACGACAAGTGGCGATCGTCGAGTCTGTTCCACCCTGGAAGCGATAAGCGATTCTCGTGATAATCGAACGGAGAAAAGGACCGAGCCGTCGCGACGGTAATAAACACCGATGGCCAGCAAGAAGCCCGTTTAAACCGATCTAAAGCATCTAGTACGCGCAGAAATAATCGTAACCGCGAAACGATTAAAACGTCTTTGCTCGTTACCGATACCCCCAAACTTCAGAACACGCACTTGTCTACTTTACACTTTGAAAACAAAGAAACAACGTTTCTTCCTGATAGAACGGTGATAATAAGAAAAATTGTTCGACGCGTACACTACGATGTTATTGATAAACATTTGAACGCGACGCGTCGATAAATCGCTGACATTTTTCAAGCAAGATGATAGTATTTTTATGAACGATCTTTACAAACGACTAAATGCACTGAGTAGCAGAATTAACACGGCACAATATTGTTGGATTCCAACACTTTATTTAAGAGAAGAAAACTCGTACAACTATTACGTCGTACGAGGTTCAGGATGAGTAAGGATTAGAAATCTGGACTAGGATGTTTTGGATGGGTAATGTTTGGTGACGGAGTGGTGTTTGTCTGGTCGTGTTGGTCATCCAACAATATTGCACTCGTAGATGAAGGGTAAACACAGATGCACGCTTTCTTTGTTCGACTAATTAGAAGACTTTTCTTATGATTTTGCATAGCAGTAGCCTCTAAAGATAAACGCAAAATTCAAACGAAAACGCTGCTCAATAATATAAAATACGAGAAAAAGGTAATATCATTAGTTATTTTTAAATATCTTCCAACAGTTTCGAACGGACAAATTATAAGATTGCTGATACACGGCGCGTAAAAGCAAAAGTTTCGCGCCGATGAATGCGTTTCGTGAGATAGTTTGCAAACGAAGATGGAATCAAGATTGCGAATTAGCTGCGAACATCGAGCAAACCGGATGTACAGGTGTCTTTTTTATACGTAATCGAATAGGAATTTCAATCGTAATTCCACGTATTTTGTATGCACTTTTTGCGAGACTGAAACGAACGGAGACCATCGATACAAAAATTTGTATCGAAGAGTTTAAAGCATTCGCGAGAAATTTCAAATACTATAGCGTATATCGAGCGACGTAGACGTTGACGCTTTTCAAAGGCTGTGTGTCCGTTACGTTTATATTTTCCAAATTCGTCCCTCGAGCGATCGACGTAGTATTTCGACCTAGCGATATCAGCTTGTTCTTACTTTCACATAGATTTTTCGATCAAGACAAATGTGCTTGGGCATTGCGCGAGCAATGTTCACCGTTACGCGAACGTCAATGTCAACGTCTACGAGTACGATCGAATGCTTTTTATACTAAAAGGAAATTTCCTTTGATACGTGCTCGATACGAATCGAGGAAAATACTTGTTCATAGATATTTCGTTATTTTTCCATGAACGAGTTATGCCTTCTCAAGTAGAACGTGTATAAAATATTGTTACGAATAAAGAGCAGAGGTGAGACGATCTCAAAACAGCCAGATAACCATCGAAAATATGCATGTATTTTCAGGTAAAGCGTGTCGGTATGTGTTGCACCCTCGAAATTGAATTTGAAAATCTTTGGTTATCTGGATAGATGTAGCAAAAAAAACCCCTATAATTTTTATATCTCAGTAGGACCGGATAGATGACTTTTTTGCAAGCAAATAAAAAAATTCGAATCTATTCTTCTAGGAGCAAAAGCATCGAAATGAATACAGTGAAAGCTTGTGGTATCGACGGAAGGCAAAACGTGCAATGCTCTCTGTCTATGTGCGTGCGTGCGTGCGTGAGCGCTTGTATGCAGAAAACTTGTTTCGTACTATTGTTTTGTGAGCTTATATTTGAGAAAATATCAAATATACCACGTCCGAGTTGTGCGATTCGCCGACGTCTTGGCGAACGTTGCAGTTTCCATCGTCGAGGCTGGAGGCTTCCTGTTTTCAAAGTCCTTGTACACATGTGGGACCAAACTGCAACGTTCACGAAACGAACAAATGGCGAATCGGCAAATCGATGAACTTGGACGCGGTATCCATCCGAAAGCCATGAACTCGAGTACAAACTCAGCCCGTGAAAGCCTTAAATCTCAATATCAAATATACAAACTCGATCTATCGTATCGACGAGAACCGTAAGCGTGCGATTCGTTTTGTTTGCTCACGGTGTTCTTGAATGGAGATAGAGCTCGGTCGTGGATCAAATAGCAATAGCGGAGCTCGAGCTGCGAAATGATAAAGCTTTCACTGTACTTGTATATTTTTTCAAGCGAACGTTACGCATGCCCTTAAATATCGATATCGATATCGATATCGGCGGTCGAGTGCTTTGATAAAACTTGATTCCATCTTTGTTCGTAGTTGAATAACGACGCGTCGACGGTTGCGGCGACAGCGAGAAAAGTAGAAGAGAAATAGACAGAGCTTAACGCAATCGTTTTTCAATGGCCGGGATGCGGTAAATCGACCAATTGTAAATTCACGAACGGCAAGTCAAACCGAACATCGTTTTTTACGATACCTTTTTTTTTCATTTTTTTTTAAGAACGCTTTGCCATGCCGATCGTACATATCATGATGGAAGGACCATCCGTTTGTAACGACGAAGTCGATGGCGTTAAAAGAGGACTACGTCCGGTGTTGCGTGAATCGATTTCGTATCATTGATTCTCGGTGTTCGCGAGTTCTGATCGCTTGCTAACCGAGAATCATCGTCATCATTATTATTATCATCATCATCATCATTATCAGCAGCAGCAGCAGCAGCGGCGGCGGCGGCAGCGGCAACAGCAATAGCAGTACCGGAAAGAGCGTTGAAAAGGAAGCAGAAGAACGATCGGGCCAGTGCCGCCTCGTGGAAATATTTTTGTACCGTCTAGCGTCAATCGGCGACCGTACTCTGTTCGTTTTAGATTCGGCTAGAACCTAAACGCGCGAACGTAGACCGTCGAAGGAAGGCTCTGACTCGAACGAACGCTCGCGAACATCGACCATCAGGACACCACTTTTGTGCAACGAGAATAAATTAGATTTGTTGACCAGTTTAAAGGATAAAAATTGGGACTACGAGGTTATCGGTTTCAGAGCCCTCCCGAGCGAGTCGCGTCTCGAGCGTGTATTGTATAACCGCGAAAGAGTGAGAGGGGGGTTGGGGAGAGATTAGCGTGAAAGAAAAATAAGAGAAAATGTGCGTGCGTGTTTTGATTCGTCGCGTTCGACAGATCCTTTGAGAAATGTAAATAGTTGAGGATCGTGTCGAATTCGCGGGTAACGTGAAAAAAAAAAAACAAAGGAACGAATGAGAACGAACAATTCAGCGAATATGTACGAATAATTGTATAAAGACTGATTAGACTAGCGTTGGTATTTATTCGAATTCACACAGTTAAATGCTATCGCTTTGCGCGCTCTCGAATCCTCACGGAGCACGATACCAAAGGTATTCTTAATCATCTTCCATTTTTATCTTAATTTTTTTACTTGTGTTGTTCGCGTCGTGATCGAACGCTCCGTTATCGTATCAACTATCGAGTGCTAAATACATATGTAGCTGTAGGCACGAAAGAGCGGATCGTTGCGCGTTCAGTCGATCGCTTAGCAAACCCAAACAGATTCTTTCTTATCTTCTCCGACTAGTAGTTCCGTCGTTGTAACGTTTTCCTGTCGTTTCTCTCGCGATGCGATCGAAACAGATATTCCGTGGAACGTATTGAGCGATCGAATAAATCTAACGGCCTACGAAAGATTTAACAGCGACCGGAAGATCGCAGGTACGAAGAAACGATTTCCAAAAGACGACGCATAGATCGATAGAACGCAACGATTCCGAATCCTCGTTTCTTGCGACACTTTTAAGTTCTCACGAACCCTCGTGAATCGTTGCATTATTAATTGACGCGTTATTCTTTCCGAAGGAAGATCCGTCGTGCTCTCGAGAAACGTATAAACGGGGCAAAGAGGAAAAGAAAAATGGTATGCGCGGTTGTAACAGCGACATTATTATCGTCACAACGTATCAATATTACTCGATGCATCGTATAAGCAAGTAAACTAGATGTAAACTTTGTATATTCATTTACCAAAAGAATAAAGGTAAATTATTCGAGGAAATTTGGGAAGGAATCGCTCTTTCCCTCTCGAGTGCGACAAACATTTTCCAGATCCCGTGTTCACGGACATGTTGCTCGTCGAGGTTGTTTCCAATGGAAAATGTTGTAAAAAAAATGTGTCCAAGTCTTAAGGAATGGTAAGTAAATGCATTGAACGTGACAAACAGTTTAATCGATAGCAATACTTTTATTGTTTAAACGTTTTTAAATACATCAGAGTACGCGCTAATGGATTTATCTCGTCTATCTACTTTTCGTTTTTAGTTTCATTAGGCTAAACAAGATGCGCAGAATATTATGACAATCGTTTTCATTCGAATTTACTATATTCGTCGTTTTCTTGCAAAGTAAGGGTGCGTGTAAACGTACGGTATACATACGGGTATACCTTAGGCTCTCTCTGCATCGGTACGCGTGTTTACTTCATATAAATATCCATGTACTCTCCATCTGTGTGACTACATATTTTTATTTATATACATATATGTGTGTGTGCGCGTATATACAGACGTATATACATTCGCACACATGCGCGCATATATATTTGTTTCTGTATATTTATATATGTATATATTTGTATTTATTTCTTTACGACGTCGGTAGAACAATTATTTACATAACGTTGTAATAAGCTATGGCTATGACTAGACGTATTGACGCTTTAGGATAGTTTTTGGAAATATTTCTAACAACGAGAGAAAACGTTAAAAAGAGGGAATCCCGACGTGCAATTCTGCAGGAATTAATCTCGTTCGTTTCCATTGTGCCCGCGCGTGCTTGTTTTCGTAGGTTCGTTGTATGTACAAAGTCATGCACATGTACTTTCTCGATTACACCGTTGAACATTTTACGCGTACGGCGCGCGGTAACCAATTTGTTCGTTGATCGTTTACTTAATTCGAAACTAAATCTACTTTTACAAAGACGATGATCGATTAACCCCCGACCATGATACATTATTACGTGGTTCTCTTTTCTATACGAATAGTATAAAATGCTAAGCGATTCTACGCTTCTTATTAGGACTCGTACTCGATTAGGAAAATTGGATCGTCTAACGTTACGATTAAATGGCATGTACTCCCATTCACCCGTTAACTATTACTCTTCTTCTTATCTTTTCATCCTTGGTCCTTAATTCCTGCGGAACGAGCTTCGAGCGATCGTTTCCATATCGAAGGATTAAACGCGAAGGGTTCTCGAAAATATTCCCGTCTTTCGTACATTTAGAAAGGTACAACGAGTTTAGGAACACTGCGAACGAAACGATTGGAGAAATCGAAACTCTCGTCGCTTTTTCGCGAAAACGAACAGATGACCATAAATCATAATAAACGGGAGATCGTTCGGGGATTCCCTCTTATTAATCGCAGGTACGCGGACGTATTGACTCGACGAAGAGAAAATGTACTACGCAGGAAGAAGGAGACATCGTTAATACTTAACCAATTTGGTAAACAAGCTAATTGTACGGTATGTATATCCTTTGTGTGTGTGTGTGTATGTGTGTGTGTGTGCGTGTGTGTGCATGTGTATATATAGGTCACGATATAAAATCTACGGTTGCAACAGTCAACAATTCATTTTTACCGAGCAAACATCGATTAAAGGGCGCGTTTTCGTACCTTCTACCACGACTATTCCTCTCATTTCGTAACAGATTTCTCGATCGTGTACAGATCGGACGAGATATTGCAGGTTTTCGTTCGAAAATTAGTGATCGATAGACAGGGGCATAGGACGGGAAAATGGATTCGTTAAAACATAGGAGAAACTCCTGAATCGTAAATTGACTTTGATTTACGAGCTACGCGTATTAAGGACACCGAAGAATTGATCGCCGTTGCGCTAAGGTATCTCAGCCTAAATCTACATCGTAATACTATCGTTTAATCGTTAACGATAACGTTTCCACTGACTAATTACACCAATTTCCGAACGAATCGTCGCGTCCACGATGGACGACCGACTGCGCGAGGAAGTAGTTGAAACAAAATAAAAGGAAGGATCGCGTCGAAAAGTACAATGGAACTCTTTCCGGAAAATCGCTTTCCAGCTCGCGATTCCCGCGATCCGTTCGTCAAGTGTTTCATATACACGTGTCGGATTCGTACGAATCAACGACGAGATTAACAGGCAGGATACTGTTGCGTGATTATAAAATAAACTACTGTCGCTCGCTTAGTAAGTCATTCTAAATCGGCTGCCAACGCGACAAAAGGCTTCTCCCTACTTACCTTAATTACCGTCGATGCATTCGATCGTTCGATGTACTTATATACTTATATACATAGATAGAAACACATTATTACCTATGTGGATCGACCGACCGAATTCTTCGTAACATTAAGATCAGAATCGCGTTAATTAAATCGGAGTCGTGGCGTTCGAACGTATCTAGCATGAATCGATTCGATCGATCGAGCGCACCGCGTCCCCCCGTGGCATCGATGTTGCTAAATATTAATACGTATCCGCCCGAAGCGCCAACAATAACGAATATATGTAGCGAACAAACGCGTCGATCGTTCGATAATCGTACAAACCTAAGCTTTTCGAATTTTTATCTTCGCGTGTACTTGTATGTATACATGTATAATACGTATGCTCGCGCGGGCTTATATACAGAGTGGATCACACGCACGCACAAACACCCACACAGCCACACACACACACACACACACACACATACACGCGCGCGCGCGCGCACGCTAAAGTTAACGCTAATGCGTCTGCGCGATCCTTGTGATCCCTTGACGGATCGCGTACCCGACCCTTATTTTACTCGGACGAACGTAGGATACGATAACTCTACTAACAAACTAGATAACTGTTTGCGCATTACGCGTCGCTATACTGGATGGTAGAATCCGCAAGGATACACGGTCCAAGCTGATCGACAGAAACCTCTCTTCTCCTCGTCCTTTTCCTTTCGTCGTCGTCTATTTTCTACTCGGATGAAATAAAAAAATTGACTCTTACCGATTTCAATCGTCAGCTTGAACCGTACAACTGTGCCGTTCATGCTCGTCGCCAGGATCGATCGATCTTTCCTCGATCCTCTCTGCGAAGCGACACGATCGAAAGATCAAAGGATCGCGGTGCAACACATTTTTCGTTTATTCGAGACTTCAGCACCTTTGAATCCGAGTGGATCCCAAGGAAAGTGCTGCGTAACGTTGTAGATACTTTCATCGGATAAGGCTGCGTTAATTATTGTCTTTTTCGTTATCTCTCGTGCTCATAGATTTACCCCGTACCTTTTTCACCCTCTTCCATTCTTTAATATTTTTGTGCTTCTGCCCTATTCGATCACCAATTGCTTTCCTCGCTCGTCGATCAGTAGACAAATATCCCTTTATCTTTCGTTCGATTCTTCGGAATAAGTACGTGCTTGCCCTTTCCTTCGAATAGATACCGTTACGACGCAACTAAACGACGATCTGTAAACTTCGTTCACGATATACAAACTCTCGTTATTTCTTTAATTCGATGTGAAAAGGGAAAAAGAAGAGGAACGTACAGGTGGAATAAAAAGTACCGTGTAAGAAACGACTAGAAGCATACGCGGCTAACTAGTTAGATCATCGATCGGAAATTTAAGGCTTTCGCGGCCTGATTCTGTACTCGAGTCGATGGTATCCATTCGGACACGATCGACTCGAGTACAAAATAGATCGATGTTCGACGATCCCTGGGAATCGTCGTGAATTCGACGGAATACTCGCTAAGGCAACCAAATTCCTCGATGCGACGTACTTGTGGACTTTCTTCGAGAAAATGCCAAAGCTTCCGCGCCTCGGTAAAACGATCTTCGATTCGATATAATGTTTGGAAACACGAAAGCGACTGAACCGCGAATAATTAGATCACAGACGCAATCGATAAGGAAACTTTTTAGATAGAAAATAACATCAAGTACTTTCATAATTTTCGCGTACGATCGTTTCACGCGCGTCGAGGGTTTGTCGTCCAAGATTGGAACTTTATACATCTCCGTTGCTTTTAATCACTTTTGCGACTTGATTCTTAACCGTTCGTGCGCTAGAAACAGTTTGGAAAATCTGACGCGGTTAGGCCGAATAAGCATTACGATCGGATCGCGTTTCACAGCGTTTTCGATTTAGGCCCGAATTAGACGAGCGTGTTAAAAGCTACGAAGATGATATTTCAAGTTTCAGGCTTAAGCAACACACTTTGTATATTATTGGTCCAGCTTCCGTTCAACCAACGAACGTCGCGGTGAGTTCTACCGGGTGTACGGTTAACGTTTCTCATACATTTACTTGTAAACGCGAGTCGTTTGCATCGTGACACGTTGTTGGTACGGTTAAATTGATTCGGTAACGCTCCTCGAATCGTTTCAGCTTTTATTATAAGCCACGGTCAGTCGTAAGGAACGCGCGACTGACGAATACTCGATGCAATTTGCCAGCTTTACGCGATCGTTGAGTACATACTTAATTTGTACTTGCGCATTTCGACATCTGCCTATTCCAACTAGAGCTGAGACTTCTCCTCGAACATTCGAGCGCTTCAGCGAGTCAAAATATTCATCGAATAAAATTCGAATGCTATTGAGATATTAATCGAGTACTATTTAAATGCTTAACTATTATTCAATTACTTAACTACGGTAGGACTTGAATTAACCCTAATCCGGACAACCCATTTTTAATAATGAAACGAACAACGTGTGTCGGACAGACACGTAAGAAATTTACCTGTACCTTTTTTTTACGACGTGCTTGTTTTATTTTCGATATCGATTTATCGATTAAAAAAATTTTATTCGTTGGCACATGCGTCTTGGAAGCGACGCCGCGTTGTCCGATCTAGGATTAACGAAACAATCGATGGTACGATTATACGTATCTATGTATGTCCGCTGAGATATATTTGCTGAATTATTTTTTGCTTATAAATAATATATGCACTACTTATAAATTTGTAAATTGCTTAGACAATTCTTCAAATTCGATACAACTATTTGTTTGTAAAAAAATTTTATAAACTACTGTATAAATCTGTAAATTACTTCTAAATTTGTTTAATATTAACGGCGTTAGTTGTCTATAACAAAGTCTTAACGATTCGTGCATTCCTTAGCGACTAAACTAATCTTCGAAACACAATACGGAAAGTTCAACGAAACGATGTTTATCGACTTGTTTCGATAATTTCTCTTATTTTAAACTTTCGTTACGAAGCACCGTGTTCTTTGAACAATAATTATTCTCAACTTTCGCTTTATGTATTAACAAAATTTCAACAGAACAAGTAGAAGATAATAAAAATTATTATATTGTACACACGTAGTGCAAATGTATGCATACTTTCTTAGTCGTGTAATCGAGCAAATATTCTCTTAATAATATTCGAATTTTATTCAAACAGTCCCAGCGCTAACTACAACGAGCGACGTTTCTTCGTTCGTAAATTGAACTCCAATTGCACGTTTATATCGTAAATTTCTACGAGACGCGTAAAACCGATTACGAAGAATACATAATTGCTAAATCTACAAACAAGTTAACGCACGTTTTATCCATTAACCCTTTGCGGACTAGAAACTAATATACCAGAGAACATAGTTTTACAAATTCTCTATAAACCCGTTATTGTACGCGTTATTTTCCTACATTCTCAAACAGTTCTACTGGAAAAATGTTTTGTCCGCGAAGGATTAATTCGTCCGTAATACGCGACAATAGATAGATCCCAAGCAGAAATAGAATAAAGACGAAACGATGATAACGAATTAAATAGAAAAAGTACGCAGCATATTGTTGCGTGAGAAATAAAAAAAGAACGTTGACGGTGTTAATAAACAACAGTCGTGTTATAGAGAGCAAAACCCGTACGGTTTTGGACAGTTTTTATAACCTTGTTACGGACATTGACTAGTGGTCGCATCGACGAGTGGATGCCGGACTACGTTCGTCCATAGTTAATAAACGAAGCTAGTAATAACAAACCTTTTCTTCTTACAATTACCACTTTAACAAGTCTTTATTAAAGTAGAAAAAATCTTGTACGGATTTATTACTCTACCGATAAAAAAATGTCGAAATTAATAGATTTCTCGATGCTTCTACATTCTAAATACTTCTTTCATATGTATATGTATATCAGACACTGTTGTAAAATCTCGATTTAATAATCCAGTTGGGTGGGGGGGAAAAACTGAAAGTAATCGAAGAAGAAAGTACTGCAACAACTTGGAGATGCACCGACGTAGCACCGTAAAATTCTTCTGTTTGTTAAATCGAGATCGTTACCGTATCTTATTATTCGTAGCGTTTACATATACATATTTATATACAAGAAAATCATGCGGTTCTCATGTAAAATCCGAAATCAATGCTTAAATTGTTATCGAAAACCACCCATTGAGCCAAAGAATATGATTTTTTATAGACAATTGAAAGGAAAACACGATTGGGCCTGTTCGATCGATCAGTTACCCCTACGTTTACCATAACTGGCTCTAAACTGGCTACTGTTTAACGATCGGTTCTTTTAATACTGATAAATGTGTTGTCCGTTTAAATGGTTCGAAAAACATGCAAACACGCTACAACTAGTTTTCGCGATCCAAGCCATGCGGCTTTCTGTCTCTCGGTGTTCCGTTGATCTTTCGGAAGAAGGCTCGATCGATATCGTATATATACATATAGAAACTAGACGCAGAAGGAAAGGTTTACACTTGCAGCATATCGCCGATACACGACTGCCTGTCGCGACGAGAGCGCAGCGCGTCGATTGACGGTAATAATCGGAGGAGGACGCGATTTTGCTGGAAGCGTAGACGCGATGTAGAAAAATCGCGCCGCTCTGAGTCTTTTGTTTGGTAAAGCTTACGAAAAGTTTGAACCCTTCCCTAGAGGCTAGCTAAAGTCGTACGAAAACTACCACGAGAGACACAGACATTCTAATACCGTACATATATGCTCAATTCCGGGGCAAAGTGGAACGCACACGCACGCGCCGCTCCTTTGTCTCGTCCGTGCATGGCTTTTCTTCCCTCGTTTGTTCTCAGTTTCGATTCAAGTAGAAACTAGAAGACGGGAAAGAAGGAAGGGGAGGAGCAGCTGACGAGAGAGGAGAAAAGGGAAGAAAAAGAAGGACGATGCTTAAAGCCGTGAAACGACGATCGCAACGAAGATTCGATATGGATCGTTTCGTCGAACAAAACGACAACTTTCATCGCTCCTGGTATCGTACGATTAAAACGAGCTAAAGCATACCGGTGGATTCATTTCACCGAAGACGTTGAGCTCGTAGAGCGAGGCGAACATGATGAATACCAGGTACCAAAGCATCAGTACCACTCCGTATCGTCGATCCAGCTTCCAGCCGTTCAAGTGGGTTGCCAGCACCAAAAATACCACCGTCGACAGCAGAGACACCGTCGAATACGTCAAGCCTGCGCGTCGTAATCACCAGAAAGAAAGAAAGAGAGAAAATGAAGGGCGCGAAGCGAAAGAACGGCTGGACGAGATGAAACGAATACGCGTTGGCTCGCGGTCGACTTACCTCGGCTGGTGACATTTACGTGCGAGCCAGGCTGTATCATAGCAGTTTGTATGAACCATGGAAGCCCGAGACAAACTAGAATATCGAAGACGTTGCTACCGACGGCGTTGCTCACTGCCATGTCACCCAAACCTTCCTTGATCACGGCCAAAGAGGACAGGGCGTCGGGCACACTGACACCAGCAGCGACGAACGTCAAACCCATCACCGTATCCGGTATACCCAGAGTGCTGCCTGTTAAACAGACAGACAGACGGTCAGTAATATTCGAGCATCGTATCGGAACGCGACAATTTATTTTTTACCTATAATCGTGATCATCCACACCATGATGTAACTGTAGAAACTGATCCATACCATCGACACGCAAAAGGTAAAAGGGTACCAGTTTCGAAATTTCTCTTGCCGGCAATCGGGCATGGTCGCGCGACACATGAAATGAATCGGGTATACCAGGCCCCAAGTAAACAAAGTCCATTTGCTACCATCGACCGGTTTTTCCAACGGCGATACTTGATTAGGATCAGGCTCTTTCGCTTTGTAGTATTCCGGTTGCCTCGGAGGCGGTGGTTCGTTCGTTTCTGGTACAGGGCCACCGCCGCCGCCTCCTCCTCCTCCTCCTCCTCCTATTCCGCCTGTCGGTAACAAACCATCGTTACGTTTCGTAATTGGTTGGACGCAAGTGCACGGCCGAGAGAAAGAAAAATTATGCAATTATCTCCCTACGATACACGTCGGTTACCTTCTTGAGTTTTAACTTGGTCCGTAACAGGCGAATTGGGACCCGTGTAAGACAATCGATCCTCCTGCAGCGATCTGTAGCTGACGAGAGCGCTTTCCTCCGCTGGTTCGTCGTCTTTCGGTAGAAAAGGTATGTCGTAAGATTTTGCCCAACGCTCCAGTCTAGCGTTGAAGGACAACGCGATGCAATACACGCCGTACATGATCAACATGAACAGAGACTCCATCCTAAAAGTAGAAATCTCGTCTCTTGTAACAGTACACGATCGGTGATCGGAAACGAGATGAACAAACATCTTACCAAGATATCGATTCGTTGTAAATTGTACCGAGCATCACGAGTATCGACACGGCATAGAAAAAGCAATCCCGACACAGAGGCCACCAATTCAACTTGGACACTGTCGAGGTGCAAAGCCCGCAAACTGATATTACAAACATTATATTGAATACCGCGCTACCGATCACACCGCTCACCTGTAATCGTAACGCGACATGTTACTATCACGACCGAATAACGAGTTTCATTCTACTCAACGTTTACCAATTTGAACGGTACCGCTGCGGTTGGTTTGCAAATACGCAAATTTTTCATCAAAACCGCGATCCTATGAATTTCGACTGTATACGTACATACTGTATTGGAGAATCGAATGTGTACAGGCACGCGTGCATGGGGCGGCATGCACGCTCCGTTTTTCGGGTGTGAACGAACCGACCGCAGACGACAACTCTGACTTTTCTACATATACGCGTAGGATTCGAATAGAAATCGCGTTTGCTTACTCCGATATCGTCCTTGGCGAAGAACACACCGATCACGACGGTCGCCAATTCCGGTGCCGAGGAACCTGCGGCCATGAACGTTGCTCCGGCCACATCCGGAGATAGTCGTAGTTCTGCGTGCAACAAAGAAACCGATAAACGTCCACGTTTTTTTTCTTTTCGTTCGTTAATGTTCCTTGAAACTTTTACGATTTTATACCAGTGTGTTTTCCAAACTTTTACAAACGTAACGACTAAACTTTTTCAATAAATAAAATGTATTTTAAAGATACGTGTACGTATGAAAAAGTAATGTATGATAAGACTCGAAGAATGTCGACCGGCAATGCACAACGCGGTAGAGGTACGTATAACTTGACCGACAGATGTAAATTATTTAATCGAAACGGCGCTAATCTTTCTCGTCCCCTGTCTTATAAATATGCATGTACACGCATAATGCATATACACTGCGTTTCGCTAGGGAACGACATTTCCAACGCACGCTAAGCGTTTCCGGCACACCTTTATCCCTGCGAAACCATAAGCCTGTCTACTGCGATTCAATTCAATTAATAAAACATTCAACTGTACGTCGGTTGTTTCGTAACTTTCTTATTCCGTTGTTTGTTTACGGTTTCGTTGTCGTTTCGATCCAACAACTTTCTTACCTTCGCAAATTCTGTCCAAACTGGAGACGAAGTAATCGTCGCAGACAATCGCGAGGCCCAGAAACGTATAAACGGCGACCAAAATGTGTATAATGAGTCCGCCGTGTTTTCTAGCTTTCGGCCCCATCACCGGCCTTGGGAACTGTTCGATAGCCGGTGGCGAGCAATTCTCTCTTCGCGGCCTCCAAGTCGCGCGTTCGTACACCACCGTGGTTATCGTCGGTACCTGAAATAACCCCTCGAGTAACGAATAGGAAATAGCTGGATAGAAAAGGAGCGAGCAGATCGTGTCTCACCGTTGTAGTTGTGGGAATGGTCTTGGTAAGAGGCGGCGGTATCACCGCGTTTTCCTTTTTCGGAACAACCCCCGCTGTCTCCTGTCGCGACTCTTCCTTGGACTGTCCGCGTACTTTCTTTGGCTTTTCCTCCTTCGTCTTCTCCGTGTTGCTGTTCGGCTCATCCTTTCCACTCTCTTCCCGCACAAGGGTCTCCTCGGTTACCGTTTTCGCCTTCGTCTTAGGTTGCTCGACGTCCGCGCCCGCCGCCGCCGCCGCCAGCAACGTGGCAGATTCCAAGGTACTTTCTACGGTCCAGGTTTCCTCGCTGTCCGTGGAACTCGGATAGAAAGACGATGTTTCTTCGGTGGGTAATTTCGCGGACGTAACATATTGAATGAGTACGTAGCCAAGTAGAAGACCAAAACGCAGAGGCCATCTTTTGCGTCGCGAATTACGTAACTGGACCCCCATCATCCTCGACTGAAACACATTTATCGCAAGTTTACTATCGCGACTCACGCCTCTTTCGTCTCGTTAAAAAATAAGGTAAACGTTAGTTTTTTCTTTTGTCATTTGTAGGAAAAATCGGTTCTCGCTCGAACAGCCAACAAGTTTCCAACGACTCGATCAAACTTTGTTCACGCACTATACCATTACAACAATTACGGCCGCTTAATATTTTATCGATAACACGAGTGATTTCAAGTTTCGTTAATGTGCACGATAACTGTACATTCGGTGTCTCTGCGAAACGAGCGTCTTGCGTTTCAATGCCAAACGGGCTTTATATGGGATACGTGTAACGTGAAAAAAATTATTAAAATGTTTTCGTTTAGTTTGATTCGCTCGTATCGATCATAATAAATACGCCTATTCGCATATGCGCATGCACGTGTAACACGTACAACGCCATTGGTTCTAAATATTGTTTTCTAAATGCCGCGGATATACGAACAAAAGTATCGCGACCGCGTCTTGCTCCAAACGCCGCTATTTCGATCGTCGTTACTTTTTTCCAGTTACCGAGCAGATGATAACGTTTGTTCGGTGTTTTGATTCGGGCCATTAGGCGCCCCGGACAGAAACTTTCCTTCGGGCTTGATGCTTACGCAGCAGCTGCCTCTATATCGTTTAAACTGTTACGTATTTTTGCACGTAACTTGGTAAATTATGCGCACCGTAAATAAGGGTGCACTGTTATTTCATAAAGTTCGAAGGATGCCCTAATTTTCACGCCTTTACGCTACATTGCATATCCTGAATATCTCCAGGATGTTTTCTTGGTACTGGCAAGGGACGGGTTCTCGCGTCTAATTAGAAAGAAATTATTTTGCGTATAGTCAAGCTCGTGCCTATTTTCATACCTACGTTACGTTCGTGGATTTAACGTATTCTCGTCCATGACCATGAATCTATAGAGTGATCCAGTTACGAAAGATATTATTGCAAGTGGTATTTTTGGCGAAACATTGTAGTCAGCCCTCGTAATGTCTACCACTGTCCGTCCACTAAGCATCAACCCCCCTTAATGCTTACGAGCTTTCTGAAAAGGCCCAACATTGCTTCGAACAGACGCAAATAATAAGTTCTATGTAACGCGTATCGTCCTTCGTTAAAGCATTATAAAGCCCTTGTCAATTACCGGAAATACGAACTTGCAACATAATTACGTTTAACTTTGCATCGTATTTTCTACAACGAACGGAAACGTTCTTACAACATTACGCAAAATTACAGAGAAACTGGAGTTGTCGAGTTATCGATAACACGCGAACGGTTGTTCCGTCAACAACACCGATATAGATTATTTTATTTTATTGGTCGTTGTACGACCCGTGATAATTTTTTGGTTTACAGGATACGTGAATCACTTGCGCGAAAGTAAGTCGAATTTTGTTTCGCAAAGCTTCGTTTTATAGCGAATCGATTGAGCGCGAACTCGACCCGACACTCGAATTTCCTTAGTTGCGAATTACGCTATCGAGCATATTACGCACGTTGTTAATAAACGTTTATACAACGTAAAGTAAACGAAGTCGATCGACGGCGATAATTGTTGGAAAAGGATTAGGACCGTGTGCTCGTATGTAATTAGAGAAAAAAAGTAAAGACGAGTGGTGTCGTTGGTTGCAATTAGTGCATGCGAATGTAAAAGCGCGTGACAATCAAGGTGGCAGCGAAAGTGACCTAGTTCGTCGTTCGTAGCGATCGTTAAACAATACGATCAACGTACCGGAACTCGCAGACGACCGGCTTACCTAATTGTCAGAATCGTTGCACATTATTCGACGGCAAATTTTCAATCACGCAATGTATCGACGTAGTTTCGATTGGCCAGAGAATTCGCAAATACTAACTGGCCAGGAATTCGCTCGCTCGGCTGCACGATCGGCTGGCTGGCTGGCGGTCGCGTCGTCACCGTTCAACGACACGATTGGGTAATTTTAAGTAACGATCACAAACTTTATCATCGCGTCTCACTCGAATTATTGATTTGCAGAAAAGCTGCGGGTTACGATGCGTTCTCGGCGTGCTCACGCGACACGTAGGCGTCGTGCTCACTGAACGAACCACCCTCGGAATTAATGTAACCTCTGTTATCGCTATAACTCACCGTCGACGTCACGGCCATTCTTGCGCCGATAAGATTCTACAATCGTTCCTCGGGCCACGCCGCCTCACATCCCTAGCGCACTATCTTCTTCCGCCTCCCTCCCTCCCTACCTCTCGTCCTAGCCCGTTTTTCTTCGCCGCCGATTTCGTTATTTCGCCTTCTACGTGACTTTCTTCCTATCTTCGCTCTTTGATTTCCTTCGAGTACTCTCCCCTCGAACGTGTACGCGTAATAACAGACCGCGTGAATGCGCACACACGGTTCTCGTTTTAACGATCCCTACCGGTATACACCCTTCTTCCAGCAACCACCGATACGATACACCGTTTATCGTTCGCTACTAGACTACGAGCGCCGTCCCGTCCACTGCGCTTACGTGCTGCTCGCGAATCAAGCTTCTCCTCGACTCTTCCTGCCACCCCTTTCTTCTCCTGCCTCCTGCCATCCTCTCTCACCCATTTCCGTCTATGCCACCCTCTCCTTTCGCCGATCACCCTTAGATACTAAACATCGCCTGGATACGCCTGCGCGTCGCTTCATTAGAATATCGCGACAACGATATCTAAACTCTACCGGACCTTAAAAGAAACGCGACGGAGCTATCCACGCGCCGCATTCTTCTTCACTGACAACTACAGTAGTGCCCGCATAAGTGATCGAATTTTTGCCCACTTAAATCACCGCGGTTATCCCCATCAATTCTTACAGGTCGAGCAACTTCGAATATCGAGCGTAACTTGACGCCGGTCGTTATCGATATGGTTTCGGGTGCCAGCTATTGCATGCCTCTTGCACTTATCCTCTTTTCTTGTCTCCGTTCAATTGGAAGAAGTAACCATACCCATATAAATGACCATTTATGTGGCCACTGCTATCAATCTTTTCGTGTATTGCAAACGATCCGTAAACGATACGATTGCACACGCACGAGATCAATTTTTCACTTACCCTATCGTCGAGAAACTCTGCGACATTTTCGACGTGTAATCGCGACGTCGTAACTTTTCAGACAACCGTCAAAATAACGAACCAATAAAAACCAACTTCGTACCGTGTTTATACATATACATATCCGTCGATGATTTCTGAGGTTTCGCTAAACATCTAAATTCAAATATATATTCGCTTTAAATATTCAACGTTATAACGTTTGTATTTTTATTAGAATAAAAAGCACAGCGTTCCAGCAGAATTTACACAAGTATTTATAAATATTCTGCAACTCGTGGAACATACACCGATTAACGTATTAACGTATTAGCTAGGGTTCTGTTCAAACTTAACGGAATAACTTTCGTTGTTTGGATTTTTCTCCAACCGAAAATTATTTGTAGAAAGTCCAAAAGGTTTTAACACCATATTTCCCAAATCTTTAAGTTTCCCAAACATTTCTTTTGCTAATTTTGCGTTCTTTTCTTCGATCAACGAAGGTAATCTCTGTAAACGTTTAATATAGAAGCCTCGCGTATACTTTACCGATACGAAACAACTTATTTTATAGTTACCCGAACGGCGCTATTTGCTTCCGCGTGACTAGAATCGTACGTTAGAATCTTCTTAAAGTCTGCCAAAGCTTCGTCTAGCTTATCAGTCTCTTCGTATAATTGTGCTCTCCTAACAAGTACTTTTAAGTAACTAGGATCTAATTCTATAGCTTTTGTACAATCCAATATCGCAGATTCTTTTTCCTACGCATAAATGTTGTACAAGTAACTTAAATGATAGCGGCCTATTATGAAATTAACATTTCTATTAAAGATATTACCAAACATTTAGATTTCGCAGCGGCTCTATTCGCGTACAACACAGATCTTTCTTTACTATAACTTAAGGGACAAGTTTGTATTCCTTGTGTGTAAACTGATATTGCCTTCGTATACTCGCCGCTTTTAAAAAGATCGTTACCCTCGTTCTTTAGTTTCGCCGCTTCGTTTCTAAACGTCTGAAAAAAATAAAATTTTAACAATTTCTATTGGTAATTTATATAATGCAACAAACAAATATCTAACAAACTTCTTTTTCGCTTTCGGAGAGACCAAGTTCTCTGTCTTTCAATAATTCTTCGTCCACGAAATCACTTGGAAGATCCGTTTTTTCTGCATTTTGCGTTTTAGGGTTAGTATCGGTATAGCTATTCTCCCCCACCTGTTCGCAAAAATCATTCGACAAATTGCTTCTTTTCACGTTCGATTTCGCATTGTTGTCATTCGATACAGAGTTTTCATCTTCTCTATTACAAGAACTTTCTAGATCTTTCGTGAGCTCTTCTATAATCTCTTCGTTGGTTTTTAAACCAACTTCGGATGTACTGTCCATTGCAGTACCTCTTACCTCAATAATTTCACGCTCTTTCTTAATATTCACTGCCTGGCCAGTCGTCGAAATTAATCACGGTAACAAATATCCACTTCATCCAGCAACTAAATGAATTTATCTGTCAACTACGATGCAACTGAGGTCAGTGATGTACTTTCGTGGGAATTTCCTGATCATGCGCACTGGAGCGAGCACTACAGTTCTCACTGCCGTATACATAGACTCTCGTATGCACTCTCTTTTTGCGCTGGCGATGGAGCCAACGGTCGAAAACAGTAGCTGGTCGAAAACAGTAGCTGCGTCCGGTAGTTTTCGCAATTGTTATCGTTCGGTTTTTGTTCATGACAAACCTGGTCGCTACGCGAAAACCGCGGTAGAATCTTTCCAAGAACGCCACGCGTCACGAAATCATCGCTCGCTTCGTCACGGTCTCGGCCTTTAAATTTTACCGCTTTCCATTATTCGTTCATCGTTATCGTTATTGTTATTTTGTTACACGTTTAACTGTTATGTTTGAAAAATAAACCGTTTTATTACCTGTTATCTGGCGTCCGCACGTTCATACCTCCCGCCTTTTGCTTCCGTTCGCACGCGACCTAGAGAGAAATAGTCGCGATCTAGGGATGCAACACATCTATGGTAGCGGACGACATGTGCAGCTGTGACGTCGCTTACGCGTGCGCAGAAAGGAATCCCGCGAAAAATCTCACGAAAGTCCATCACTGACTGAGGTTTGTGATATTGTGATGGCATATTTTTCTGGTTCCTATAAACTTGTATGTTTCCCGTCAGAGAACGTCTAATACCTCATATTGTAGCGATACAATATTTTTCATTACTAACTTTTGTGGTTAGGTGGTGCAACCATAGATGACGTAAACCAATAGACCTTACACCCCATGGACTTTCGTGGTCCAAACTGACTGCCATACCGACCCTAAAATTCGGAAATGATTTTAACGACCTCTTCTCATTGATAACGGTCAGTTATGAAACTATTCACTGAATTAGTTTGATAGGCAGCCAACTGTAGTGAGAGCGTAAATACATGGCGGCAAAATTAAAAAATTTCAAATAGTTCTGAAAAAATTATTTCTAGTTGCAGGGGTCAATTACAATCATTTTTGGTGAATACATATATCCTCGAAATCCTATCCGCTTTCGAAAAAAAAATTCTTTACCGAAAATATAATGTGTGGCCAGAAACGGTTCCCCGAAATTTCATGCGTATGTTTAAAAAAATCACAAGTCCTGAACGGATCGAAGGATTTTAATGACTCAAAATGCAAATACTTTAGAGCCCCATATAAACAAAGCAAAAAACTACATTAGATGTAAGACTAATTGTATGTATCTCGTCTGTGGTGCAACGATGATCTGTTCAATTCATAAACCGATTTCTTTTTATGATGAAAATAAGCTTTGGACTAAGTTCATTAAATAGAACGACGTATATAATCTCAAGTTTAAACCAAAATTTAAACATTAATGCTTGTACGATATTTTGATAAAATTGAAGCACGTGTATGTACTTCTACACATGCAGCACAATTGTGCATACCTAACCTATCGCACGTTTCGATGATTACGCTCTGTAAGAAATTTCATGATACACTGTTGTACAAAAATTGCGACACTGCGTGTTCTTTGTAGATCAATTAATAAAAATGGTACAAGTTGAGTGTCTAACAAAATTTCTATTCTACTTACAGTAATGTTATCCAGGATTATCAACAACTATGTCTACCAAATTTTGTTTAAAAATGTTCACCAAGTTCGTGCAATGCACCTGTGCGATACATTTAATTCACAGATATGTGGGAGATGTTATAACAGTGAGAAAATTTATACTATACATAGAGATTACTTTGATGCATTTGCAAAGTCTACCAATGGTCATTACAAACTCGCTAAGTCTATTAAAATTATTGCTGATACATATTCTTTTTATTACATAGTGTTCAGGTCCATCCATGGAACCAACATTATACAGTGATGATGTATTAATCACAGAACGTATATCTCTGAGGTTACAAAAACTTAAGAAAGGTGATATAGTTATCTCCAAATGCCCTTCTAATCCAAAACAGCACATATGTAAGAGGGTTGTAGGGTTACCTGGCGATAAATTACAATATGGAATTATAGTATGTAATATTAATGATAAGATATGTTACAAATTACTCTTTATCATGATGCACATTGATTAATGACAAAATTTAAGTTTATCCTTAAAAATTTTTCAATTCTATAAAACTAAAACTGTTGTTGCTATATGGTTCAAGAATATAATGTTTTAGGTTCCAAATGGACACGTGTGGTTGGAAGGCGATAATAAGAATAATTCAACCGATTCTCGTGTATATGGGCCTGTGCCGCAGGGTCTATTACGAGGACGCGCGTTATGCAAAATATTACCGCTGAGAGATATTACATTTTTTGAGACTGAACATGTACAGTCTGACTAGTCTCGGTATTTAATGCAAATCTTTGTACATAATATAATCAGTAGAATAAATACATTTTTATCATTTGTAATTTTATCTGCAATCATAAGCTGTTCAAGCATATTGTTTTCATAGCGCCTCTTAACTATACAAGTACTTTCGAATTATTTAATGTTTCTTTTTTCTATATATCATATGTTTAGCGTCGCGTAAACTGCACCTGGGTGGTTATTAACAACGATGGTTTGATATTTCGATTTTTTCTCTGTTTGTGCAATAATTAACCAAATTCTTCTTTACAACATATCGAAGTATTTAAACGTATGAAACTATACGAGCGCCCAAGTAATGAATCATGATCACTATTTTGAACTTTACGATCATAAAATTATTGTTCTATAAATAGTGCACGTTTTATTACGCATCTTTCATATTTTAATAAGGTATGCATTTGCACGCGAGGAAAAGTTAATTCCGTAATGTTTACAACTTTTCTATTACGAATAATTGTTTATTGTTTGTGCTATGATACGTGGTAAGTATATCTATATGCGCAGGACCCGTGTTTCTGCGAGCAATTGCGAAGTAGTACCGTTCCACATATAAAAATTAGTAGAAAGCGTGATGTAAACAACATCAATAATATGTTTACATGCATAAATGCGTACAACACAGGTATTACGATTTGTATTCTTTATGAAGCATTGAACTGCGAAAATGTTGAATTCGTACACAGCTGCCAACGATCCCCGTTGGTCCGACAGTATCGTATGATTTTATTTACATACCGAGCCCTTCCAAATGCGTCGGAAGCTCTCTTGTATATAAGCAGAATCAAACGCTGTGAACGTAGTTTAAGAACAGTGCGGTAACAACTAATTTTCTGTATTCATTACCGATCTGTAATACATCATTGTTATATTCAACGTGTTCGTTTCAAAGAATTACGAGACAATTGTAACTGGCATCGATCGGAGAGAAAGAACATGTTCGTGTTATCAAAATATTTTATCTAAATAACGTAAAAAAATAGTGTACATATTTTGATTTATTATTTATGTGTGAAACATTTAGTAAACGGACAAGTTTTAAAATGCATGCAGAATCATCTTCGATTATTTACGTGTTTTGCATCTGATGTGATATTTAACGACCTACAATTATCAGTGTTAAAAATCATTGCCGTGAAAATTTATATTTCTTTCTTTTGTACTACACTCTCGCTCTTCTGTCAGAGAGACAAAAAATGACGAACTATGTATAAAAGTAAAGTATTATCGAAGATTTATTCTTTTTATAAGGTACGTTAGATATCAAGTGTATAATCGTTAGTGTGTTTATAATCAGAAATACGTAATTAATTTCATTTCGTTTGTGCAATTTTGCTTCAGTTATTTTTATTTCGTTGACATTTAATGGTGAGATGTTGCTTGTGGATAAAATAAAGATGATGCAAGTTTTGACAGATCTAACTTTTATCGATCACTCGTTACAATGTAATCGTACATATTGATACGCGAGTGATTTAACTTTATATACATTTTTTTTTCCTTCTTCCCTCCAACCAAATTGTTACATGCGCGGGTGTATGTATCAGGTGCATCTAAATGTGTATAAATTTACATAGAAAAACATTAGGCTCGTATCCAAATTAATAATAGTCACTCTTAGCAAGTAAACTCTATACACACTTCGCGAAAAATCGTTGCTAAATTAAGAATTTCGTAAAACGTTTTCCAACGTTTTGCGCATCAGCTGATTTTGACAGGTGTATCCGATGAACGTTGACTTTTATATTTAATAATATTTGTTATATTTATTAACAGCAAGAATATTAATAGTTAACTCCCTAATTCAGTAAGTAACTTTTCGTGGCACAAAGACAATTTTACAAGATAATTACAAAAGAATTATTACGTATTCGATACAATATTTTTATTGTACGATTTATTAAATTATTTATGTTTTACGCATTTTTTGCATGTATGCACTCATGTAGACACATATTAAAGTTTTGGTATTTATATAGGTTAATTGCATTTCTTGTTTAAATTAAACATACTAATGTAACAATTTGGAATTAAAGATTTTCAATTTGTCAAAAAGCACGCGTTTTTATAATACTATGCAATATAACATGGATAATATTTTTTAATTACAGATAATTGACAAATAGTACAGCAGATAAAAACAGTGGTGAAAACATTGATGAAAATAAGTTATTTAAACAATTAACTGTTTTATGAAAAACAAACATGTCTATGCAAAATTATTCTAAGCTTTTAGCACAACTAAAAGAATACTTACACAAATCTGGTTATGATAAAAGTGTACAGATTATTTTATCCAAAGATTGGATAGACTTTTTACAGAAAATAACATATACACAAATTGATACTTTAAAAAAGCTATCGCCTGTTGAATATATAAAGAATATCAGTGATAGTAAAGTGTCACAGACAGAAAAATATATTAATAATGATGATGAATTGAAAAGCAACAATATTGTCATAAAAACCACACAAAGAGAAACATTGACGACCAATACCACTAAGGATCAGAAGGTATATCAGGTATTTTATATATGATATGAAAGAGATGTTGTAGGCAAGAATTTAATTTTTGTTCTTTTTCATCATTTTTACAGCAAATTCGTAATGTAACTGTAACCGAACAAAAACTAGAAATTAAAGAACAATCATATGGTTTTTCACAAATTTTGGACAGTTTATTTGTTAAATTAACCACTAAAAGCAAAACAGCTACCTTAGTCATTTCACCAAAGTGGAAAGTAAATCTTCATAAAGATGTACAACTGCACAGTATTGCATCAAGAACACGCCATGTTTTGAATAGTATTATAACTGCTGAATCGAATGCCTCAAGGTGGAGGAGAATCGAAGATCTGTTAACTCATATTGATCAATACCCAGAAGCTAAGCATTATGCGATCAAAGAGGGAGCAATTAGAATGTTACTGAAAACTCAACGAAAAACGAAAAATGAAGAAATAAAAGGTAAAAGATAATTCAGAAATGTTGCATTTTCGAATGGATATTAACGATCCTAAGATAAAAATTTTTGTAGCATCTACTAGGGAAGCACTTGCAGTATTAGGCTATGTTGATCCATTACCAGGCAGAGGAATAAAAATACTTTCGATCGACGGAGGTGGTATGCGTGGAATATTAGTTATAGAAATGTTAAAGAAACTTGAAGAGTTAACAGGGAAGAGAACGCACGAGATGTTTGATTACATATGCGGCGTGAGCACGGGAGCTATTCTTGCTGCAGTTTTAGGTACATAATTTATACATATTTATAATTTCACTTTTCAAGTATAGTAGTGCCCGCTTAAGTATCCGCGGTCGTTTAAGTGGGCATTGCTGTATATATATTCTTCAATAATAAAATTTTGCAGGCGGACATAAAAGGAAATCGTTAAATGAAGTATCAGAATTATACAGAGAATTAAGTATTAAAGTTTTTACTCAAAGTGCTATAAGAGGGACAAGTAAACTAGTATGGAGCCATGCATATTATGATACACTGCTATGGGAAAAACTATTGCAAGAACATTTGGGAGATAAGGTTCTCATAAAAACTGTTCGTGATCCAAATGCCCCAAAGGTACATATTATGTTTTATTTATAAGAAGTGAACCAAAGGTTCAGACAAATGAACTTGTCTGTCAATACAAATTTCTGTTCAGTTTTCAGCCATATCTGCTATAGTAAACCATGAACGCGTAATGGCTTATGTATTCCGAAATTACACTTTGCCTCACAGAGTAGAAAGTCAATACATAGGGTCGCATAAACATAAATTGTGGGAAGCTATAAGAGCATCTGCAGCAGCGCCTAGTTATTTTGAAGAATTTAAACACGGCGAATATCTTCATCAGGATGGAGGTATGATTGAATAAGTTTCGGGAATATCGATTGCTCTGAGGAATTTCATATACATTAAGATATTTGATCCACCGAATTGTACAGGTATACTGGTAAATAATCCATGTGCAGTTGCATTACACGAAGCTAAACAATTGTGGCCAAATAATCCAATTCAATGTGTGATTTCATTTGGAACTGGAAGGGCACCAAACCGAATTTGCGAAAACAGTAATGATACGACGGAATTGGTAATCTCAAGTTGGAAAGAAAAATTTTATAAAATTGTGGACAGTGCAACCGATACGGAAGGTATAGTTTATGAAATAGTACATTTTTGAAAACTTCATCTCAATGTTGTATAATGAAAGATTATTCGAATAATAGCGATTGTTTTATTATATAGCCGTACATACAATGCTGAACGATCTTCTTCCCGAACATGTTTATTTTCGCTTTAATCCGTATTTAACGGAAATGTTGTCGATGGTAGAAATACGACCAGAGAAGATCAATCAATTGGAACAAGATGCGAAAATGTATATACGTAGAAATGAAGAAAAGTTTCAGAAAGCTGCTGGAGTTTTGTTAGAGAAAAGACAAATTCAGCAGAAAGTTATGGACTGGATTGTGTTACAAAAACAAATGTTAGGTCTATGAGTTTATGTATTTCATAGATTAACATGCATTCCATAACTTATGACAGAACATTAAAAATGATGAAAGCGTTAACAATAAGTACAAATCACATACGATATATAGTTATTTTATTTAATTAATATTAAATTATTTAAAATCATAAAATTACTATTTGTTACTGTTAAATATTTAATTATAAATATTTGTCTTTTATATTATGCTTTCATAGTGAAAGATTGTAGAAACTTTCATACTTACTTCTGTATGTCTAACGTGATTTTGCACGTATTTGTAAACAATGACTTTTATAAACAATGTTAAAATAATAATGTTCAATCTAGAGGTATTATATTATAGGTACAATTTTCATATGAATAATTAATTGAACAAACCAATTAATAATACATTTTTTACTGTGATTTACTTTTGGTGATATATATATATATATATATATATATATAAATATTAGAGGTATGCAGGTAGCTTGAAATTCGGTCCCGAGCTGTCAAGAAATTAGCGAATTGGGGCAAAGCTCGATACATTTCTGACCGAATTAAGTCGATTGCACACCCCTAATGAATACGTGTACATACATACATATATTATTTTAAGTACACAATAGTTACAAAAAAAGGTTTTTATCATGTGATGAAGCACCAAGTATTATTAGTCAGTAAAGGCTTGTTCGTATTATTATAACCATTATCGTATTAGAGTGATTTGGTTTACCAGCATACTTACTACAAACATATACTAGAAGTGGTTATTTTTCTCAACTAGTTAAATGTTTGAATTGCTGTATAGTGCAATAACTCGTCGTCTACATGTGCACGAGCAAAATAATTTATCATAATTCTTTTGCAAGTATGAAAGTAATTTGTATTTCACCGAATGAATGTATTGTTACGTTTAAAATCGTGGGCTATTCTCTATTTTATATGTAACTATAATGTTGTGTATGTGAATGCATTGGTACAAAGAAAACTTTCAATAAAATAAGAAATATTTATTCCTGTAAATTATCATAATAATAGTGAAATTTATCCAAAGTAATATCTTAACAAATATTGCATTGTTATTATAAAATAAATGTTTAGATTCACGTTTTATATTTTAGTATTATTAAGAAAAGACTTGGTGTGAGAAATGTACGACCAAAAATTTCAGCATTATTGAATTTTATCAAATTTATATTTATAAGACTATTTGTGATTGAATAATAAATGTGATTTAAAATAAATTTACAAAAGTAAAAACATACCTAACTGGCGCTACTATCGATACTCGTATACTTGTATCGATTTCCCTTCTTCTTCGCACTTCCGTTTCCGAGTGTGTTTACGACATTTCTGTAAGTGAAGAGTTTTATTGTTATACATCTCTGTAATCTGTGCGGTATTTAATAATTAACTATTCATAAATTGTTTCTGAAGAGTGAAAAATGCATTCTGTAGTAGTTACTCGTATTAGTTTTTTAATAATCCATTGAAAGATGTAATTCTACTCAGGAATGCATTTAACCTCAAATATTGTTTAAAATGTATTATAATGAAATTGATTAAAGTAATTATTATTTTAGATTGTATAGTACGAGAAAATGGCAAAGTCTAAAAATCACACCAACCATAATCAAAGTGAGTATAACAAAATATTCACAATATTATTTGATTATACGATAAAATTATTATATTTTTCTGTTGGTTCATAGATCGTAAAGCCCATCGTAATGGTATTAAAAAACCTAAACGTTACAGGCACGAGTCTACGCTTGGTGTAAGTCTTAAATTAATTAAATAATAGTTAAAACAAAAAAATAAAAAAATCTCATTACTTTTTAGATGGATTTGAAATTCCTTAGGAATCAACGTTTTGCAAAGAAGCATAATTTGAAACCAGAAGAGCAATTAAAGAGGCAACGACGTAAAGCTCTTCGCGAGGCTAAAAAATAAAATGTTTGTAAATTAATTACTTTATTATAATAAAAATTGAAAAACAATCATAATATAATCTTATTATTTATTTTTTTTTTTACTATTCAACGTTTCTAATTATTAATTGCGATCATATTCGCACATATTTATGTATTTGTAGCTTCATATTCAAGTTAGACTAGAATAGACCAAAAGCATGATGTCACTTTTAAATATTTATGTCATTCATGTATTTATATGATAATTATTATAATGAAAACAAGATTCTCAATTGAATATAACCATTAGAATTTTTATTTATATTTATTTAAATGAGGTTAGGTATAAAAAAAAACTTATCGGAACTGTTAAAAATAAGTATAATTTATGTACATATGTAGTTTACCTAGTAGTGATACACGAGACTTCAATAAGAGCGTTTAGATTTCGTAAATTTAAAAATATATTTAAATAGTTTTACACTAGTTTATCAGATTTTATAAACTGTAAATTTGTCTAAAGAAGTGATCGAATATTATTATCACTACCTTTAAATCATTTTCAAATAACAATTTCAATATGGCGGCCGAACACGGCACGGATAAGCAATATGCAATAAATTTCAAAACTTCGTTAAGACCGCAAGTAATTTTATTATTTAGCGGTAAAAGAAAATCTGGGAAGGATTTCATTACAAATGCATTGCATGAAAAGTAAGAAATTCTTAATTATATTATTAATAATAATAATGGACTTTTGATTCGATGATACGTTTATTTGTCAGAATTGGTTCTGCCAGTAGTGTTATTATAAGGTTGTCAGGACCGATCAAATCTCATTGGGCTAAATCATTGGATCTCGATATTAATCAACTGTTAGGAGATGGAAAATATAAAGAATCTTACCGTCTTGAAATGGTTAAATGGGGAGAAAATATGAGAAAAAAAGATAACGGATATTTTTGCCGTGCAGCTTTGGACATGTATAACGGTAAAAATTTATTTCTTTATTCTATAATGTTCATTTTTTCCCCCCCCCCAGTAAACGATTTGTATAATGTTATAATGTAATGTATTATGCCATTTATTTTCAAAGAATGTGTTCATATAAAACTTATCAGTGATATGTACAAATTTTTTAAAGCATACAGCAAACCATTATGGATAGTAAGTGATATACGAAGAAAAACTGACATACAATGGTTCAAACAAAATTTTGAAGGTATATGTAAAACAATTCGCATTGTTTCTGATAATTTAATTAGAGAGAAGCGTGGTTGGGCTTTTATTCCAGGTAAATATTAAGCACAATAGCAATGAAACTTATTCAAATGTATTAATTTAATGAAAAATTAATTTATAGACATAAAAGTTTAATTGATTATAATTATATCAAAACATTTATTGTAGGTATTGATGATTCAGAAACTGAATGTGATTTAGATGATATAAAATCATGGGACTTGGAAGTAACTAATAACGATGACAATATAGAGTATATATTGCAGCAGATACTAAGATTAATTAATTAGCAATAATAAACCCAAAAGTTAATGTGTACACACACACATTATATATATTATAATTATTAAATTTGTAATAAATGAGTTGTTGCTTATTGTTTAAATAATAAAAGTAATATTTCCTAATATTAATCCAGTGTATACCAGTGTTTTATTTACAGGATATTCAAAATATTGACCAAATGGTAATGCTTAATGGGTTAACTAATAAAGCTTTTTCTATAAGTAATTCTTTTGAATCGTCGAAATTTCAACAATTTCTTTTAATTATCACTGATGACAGATATGAAAAAAATTTCACTCAAATACGTGATTTTATTATTTAAAAACAGTGTTCATGTAAAATGAAGAAAACCTATTAGTAATTACATCGTATTCAGAAACATTCAACAAATCGTAGTTTGTTACAATAGAAACACGACATTGTAATTCGATAAGAGAACACTTAATTAACTTATGGTTTAACATTATTTTTGATTCATTTTATATTACTAATTGACATTAGATGGCGTGGTCCAAGGAAGAAAAAAAATTGAATGATGCAAATTGAGATTACACAACGGATAGCTCAATGATGATGTTTGATATGCAATGGTTTCATACAATGATAGTATGTTTACTTTATAACTACGAATTTCTATCGTAAATGAATTCACGTTATAGAGCGTGAAGTGTCTTGTAAAAGATATTGAAATAATTTTATTATCTTTTGAAATGGTGGATCACTCGTTGCCGTCCGATATGCTCGACGATCTGAGCAGGTTAGCTTTTGCAGATAATTCTTAAAAATTACATCGCACAAAATATTTATTTCTATTGCGTTCTTCATTCGTTTACTGTTTTATTTAAAAAATGATGTGGTTTTTAAACGTACCCTGGTTTTAATCGCAATTGTATTTTCAGTCGATTTATTATCAACGTGCCCGAAGAAGAGAGAAAAGATTTAGTACGAATATGTTTTCAAATCGAACTAGCACATTGGTTTTATTTAGATTTTTATTGTACCGACGAAAATCCAAAGCTTAGACAGTGTAATATGAGAGAATTCGCCACACACATCTTCTACCATGTACCATTTTTAAAACCACACGTAGCTAATATAGATAATATTCTTGAACAATGGCGAGAATACAAGCAAAGTGTTCCAACATTTGGGGCAATTGTATTAAACGAAGATTTAACGAAAGTATTACTTGTTCAAAGTTACTGGGCAAAAAATAGTTGGAGTTTTCCTAAAGGCAAAGTGAACGAAGATGAAAATCCTTCTCATTGCGCAGTTCGAGAGGTGTTGGAAGAAACTGGCTTTGATATTTCAAATCTGATAAATGAAAATGAATATATTGAATCGGTGATAAATGAACAATTAGTGAGATTGTACATAATATGCGGTGTTCAGAAGGATACAAAATTTCAACCAAAAACAAGGAAAGAGATAAAAAATGTAGAATGGTTTTCTTTAGCCGATTTACCCAACCACAAGAAAGATATGACTCCAAAATCGAAAATAGGAGTCGGTCCAAACGCATTTTTTATGGTTATTCCCTTTGTGAGGTAATATGCGATTAAAAATGTCTTGGTACTTTTTATAATTTACTGCACTCGATGTTTAAAACTGATGTTACGCACACAATTTCTAAATAGAAGAATGCGACGTTGGATACAAGAGAAACATTTACGCGAGAAAAATGTAAACAAAATACGTAGACATAGGCATAGGTCTTTGGGTGATGTTGAAACTGTTTCAAAGGGCAAACGGCAACAACAACTGCTTCCTCATTTTGTTCAGGCAATTAAGCTTGATCTATTTTTATACCTATATTTTACTCGAGGATGATCGTAATGTGGTTTTAAAAACTACTTTCAGACTGACATTCCAAGTTTTAAAGACTTAAAAGACTTTCGACAATCAAACACTTCGCCCGCACGGAGCCGTCGTAGTGTATACGATAATAAAAATGCCATATCAAAGGCAGCGATTAAACGTAATTTATTTGGCGATCAAAATGACGATGAAACTTCGGCTGTTCTAGCCAAACAATTAATGGATAGTCCACAAGGTCAACAATCTTGTACATTTTTAATGGATCCTGCCATTCAATCTGTGAAGTGCAATCAGTTTAGCTACAAAGCACAAGGTTTTACTAAGGGAATGAAAGGTTTGCTGATCCTAAGATACAAAAAAAGATTGTTTATTAATATTACGAAAATACTGCTTTTTCCTTTCAGAGAGAGCACCTCAACCCCAGAGATCTCAGAATATAGAGTTTCTAGAAGGAAATATAGAAGCTTTGTTATTTGGCAAAGCAGCAAACAAACTGCCAACAAACTTGGATATTATGTCTTCACCGTTCGATGCGACGGATCGTAGTACACGATTTCATTCAAAGGATTACCACGGAACTCAAAAATATTCTACAGATATTTGTTCAATGATTTGGGCACACTTTAAATTTGATAAACAAGCAATACTCAATTGTTTATAAATTTGTTTTAAAACTACGATCATCACGCTTTTAAGGAAAAAAGATTATGCTTGGTTAGTCCATGCTCATAATTATATCAAATTTTTACGATATTTATTCACATTTACGAATAATCGTGTGTGAAAATTTAGAATTAAACGTCATTTTAATCATTTGTGATTTCAAGGATTCCCTGTTAAACTGTATTTTATGTTTGCATGATACGGTCGTATACAGTAATATAATGGTAAGACGAATACATTACTAATCTGTAATGTTTCTTAGATGCTTAATTTTAATCACACGTTCACGGTTGTGCAGTTTAAACACGGCAACGAAAGCGTCCGTTAATTAAGTAAAATTGAAAGTAACACGTGTACAGATTATATACCATACAAACGATACAATAATTTGTTTACAACCATCAAAAAATTATTGAAGCATACATAACATTACACATATTTCTATTTTACAAGTTTTACTTATTTTTTATCTAACAAAAAATTTTTACGTAGCAATAATCACATTTGTGAGCAATATAGAAACAGCTTATTTTACACATAGAGTGTGAATATCTGATTCTCTGCTTGAGCGTGTTCATGTGCACATACAGTAGTGCCCATTTAATTGCCCGCGCTCGTTTGGCTTCTCAGAATTCAACGGAGATTAGAAAAGAGGATAAGTGCGAGTGAGATACAATAGCTGGCACTCGAAATCATAATATATACAATGTATCGATAACAAGCGGCTTCCAAGAATTGGTGGGGATAACCGCGAACACTTAAGTGGGCGCTACTGTATTTGGGAAAAAATTTTTTACATAATACAGTTGTCAAAAATTTCTATGTACATAGCTTTGAAAAATAGATTTAATATTGTTTATTACTTGAAGAGAACAAGGAAGACGACGAGAATTAACACAGAAACAGTAGTAAAACAAAGTATTTTTCTAGAAAGTATACTACCAGTACCACGCACACTTTTGATAATTTCATTATTTAATGCAAAAACTATTTTACTTTCTTCAAGAAGTTTACTTTTTGTATCTTCATCCAACATTTCTGCAATCTTGTTCATTGTATCGCGCATATTTCGTTTAAGTTCAAAGATACTGTTACTTTCAAAATCTGTAATATTATTACCGTCCGTCTGAATATCTTTGAACGGTAAAATTTTTTTCATAAGTAGTCTTTTTTTACGTAAAATGATCCCTCCGCTAAGAAGACCCATATACAGATGATAAATGTATGCTGCCAGTAATGTAGGATCAGTATCTTCTATTTCCCTTAAACGCATCAGATATTTGATAACACTGTCCCTGGAGTTTGAAACGATGTTAAACATAGCTTTAAAGGATAGAATCCATTTATTCTAGACACATATGTACGTATTTGAACAATGTTATAATCTGGTTTTTAAACTTAGATGCCCTTACTATATGCATTATAATGTGGATTACGAAAGCATGCAATTTAATTGCAAATAATATTTGTTACTTTTTATAGCACGTGTTTAAATAAAAATACACCTGTACGTAATATACGGGCCCCCCATCCCCCCCTGCAGCAGTCAAACGCGCGACACACACACACACACACACGCGCCACGCAAACACACACACACTCTATGTGTATATATATATATATATATATATAGATATACTATACTATACTAGAAAGTATACCTAGGAGTGTAGTTTTTCATCCATCCTTTTCCTAAATAAAAATCAAGGTCACGTTCGAAAGCTTTCGTACGTTGAATTTTTTCAAGCGGAAATAATCCTATTTTGGTATTGCTCAATCTAAACATAGCACCTTCCAAGTATCGGAAAATTTCATAAAACACCAAAAGACCATCAGCCCATATAGAATCATCGAGAAATCCTGTTTAAAGTACATGATATTTGGCAAAACAATGAAATAAAATTCTTATACTGTTGTCTATCAAATACTTTCTTATACAAAAACCCTATTGCACAGTTTTATTTTGTATAAAAATACGAAGAACAAAGGTTCGATAAAAAGTAAAATTAAAATACTACACAGTATTAACCTAAATGCTACAAACAGTAAAGTTGCAACGAATAAAAAGTAAAAAAAAATATAATAGAGTATTTTGCTAAAACGCGTTATTTGTCTTACCAAAGGCTAATTTTGTATTCACCAAAGCGTCACTGATTGTATGAACCTTTTTTGTAGCTTTCCGCATTTTTTCACAAAACGTTTCTTCACTTTTGTCCGACATTTTGACAAAATTTATCTATCTTTCGAGAAGGTACCATAAAGTTAAGAAAAACTATGGTGTCATCCTTTTTTATTAAATGTCTACTCATTTAAAATGTTTCAACGATCGTAAATATCAAGTTATTGAAAATAACATTTTACGTTTGACGTCTGCGATCAAGCCGAACTCTAGAGCGACCCCTTCCTACCTCACTCACACTACAATTCGTTTTCATTAGGCGCAAAACCATTCTAGAATGCGCGAATGCCTCTGTTACTTGTATCTAGATTTTTATGGTTTAAAATATAATTTTTCAAAATAATGCTGCATGCAGGCAGCAAGTGTGCTAAGAATTCAAAGTTGAGCACTTGACAACTTATAATCTATGCACAGTATCTACAAAGGCATTGAATCTGTCGCAAAATGTAAAATAAAGTCTTTCGATTGGTGCAACAACGTCGATCATTTCCAATTGGTAGAACGAAACATTTCCAGTGTCATTTTACCAATTGGAAGCTTAGCCTGCTTAGCGCCATATATGTTACATGACAAATTTAATGCCCCACAGTGTAATCATGCATGTTGATGTTCTTCGGCGTAAATAGGACAGTGTAAACGTACATACATAGTTATTAACTTTATGTTATGTTATGTCAGATGGAATTGTTTGTGTTTGGCACTAATTATTAATATATCCTATTATTAAAGTTATGAATTTCATCGTAAATTAAGACGTTGATACCTACTCGAAAACAATATCTTATCCACAGTATTATTGATAATATTTAAATTTGATCGTATATTTACGTATCTACAAATGAATTATTGCTATTTATAATTTAACAATTATTTCCTGCTGTGCGATTATGATTGGCAAACTCATTATTTTTATATTGTGACCTGTTATGTTTGAAAAAGATTTGAAATGATTTCCAAAACTGTGTGCATCACACAAGAAGGTCCAGCAAATGCACTAGCATTGAATAAAGACAACAGTCAAGTTGTTATAGCAGGACGTAATGGTAAGTAGTTTATTTACATTTAATGTCAAATAAACTGGATTTTCCAATGCTGTGTTGTCTACTTTTTGCTAGTTACAGTAGGGTAATTAATTTACTTTAATAGACTTGGTAATTAGCAAATAAATGATAATTTTACATTGCAGTTTTTAAAATATTTGCCTTGCTAGAAGACAGATTCGAGGAGGCATGTAATCTTCGTGTTGGGAAAAATTTAAATTTAAATTTTTCTTGTAACGATGTTGCTTGGAATCTCATAGATGGTAAGTTTATAATAATCCATATTATACTATTCTTTAAATGTTACAATGAACTTGCAACAAGTCTGTTTTTTAAAAATATGTATGTAATTATTTTAAATAATTCATAATGCCTGTATTGTTTAGATCATATATTAGCAACCGCTGCTACCAATGGAGCAGTAGTAGTATGGAATTTAAATAGATTATCAAGGTCCAAGCAGGAACATGTTTTCATGGATCATAAAAGAACTGTTAATAAAGTAAGTTTTCATATGACAGAACCTATGTGGCTAATATCTGGTTCCCAAGATGGCACTATGAAATGTTTCGATTTAAGAACAAAAGAAGCTACTAGAACTTTTTATAGGTAAACAGTTTCGATCGTGTAACCGAGTATTTTGATTTTAACAATTTTTTCATGAAAAATAGTAGATAATATTTGTTATTTTAGTAACACGGAATCGGTACGCGACGTTCAGTTTTGTCCTCACTCCCCGCATACATTTGCCGCTGTTTCCGAGAATGGACACGTGCAGCAATGGGACTTACGGAAACCGGATAAATATTTTCAACATTTTACCGCTCATAGCGGTCCGATATTTGCTTGCGATTGGCATCCTGAATCTACTTGGCTCGCAACCGCTTCTAGAGATAAGACTATCAAGGTGCTTGCCTAGCATTTATATTATTTTAAATAAACTGTATAATAGTAGTATTAATATGTTGTTTTCTAAAACTTTATACTTAGGTTTGGGACTTGTTGGGTAAACCCAGTTGCGATTACGTTATACATACAATAGCATCGGTAGGTCGTATAAAGTGGAGACCACAGCGAAAATATCATATATCCAGTTGTGCCCTTGTCGTAGACTGTAGCATAAATGTATGGGATATTCGTAGGCCGTATATTCCTTTTGCAAGTTTTAACGAACATAAAGATGTCCCAACCGGTGTAGCATGGAGAGGCAATCCACAGTCGTTTTTATCAACTAGCAGAGTAATTATCTTATTAGATAGGTGTTTTGAGATATTTGCTATAAAAAATTATTAATATCGAAACATATTAACAAATCGTTTTTTATGCAGGATTGTACTTTATACCATCATGTGTTTAAAGATGCTACTAGACCAGCGAGTAAAGCAAATCCGCAAGGTATTGCGTTGAATCCGAAAGGAGACATCGCATATGCTTGTAAAGTCCATGTTACCACTACAACGAAACCATTGACTAACATAATGAGGTTAATAAACACGTTGCATAAACGGGGCCAACTTAAAAAAAGTTTCTCAAACGAAAAAATCAAATGTTAGTTAACATTTATTTGTAGGAAGGCAGCTGCAACAAACGATACATTTTGCATGGTATCTAGCGTAATGCATAGATTTGCGCTAAGCGTGCCGCGGGAACCAAAGTGGTTTAGAGCATGCGCGGAAGGTTACTTGCTTTCCGGACGATTAAACGACATTTGCGATCATAATGCCATTGTCGCCAGAAACGCTGGTAGAAACGATGTAAGTAACCATGTAACTCGGCCGTACTCTGTATTCGTAGTAATACAGTTGTCGCTTTCAATCAGATCAGTACAGTATGGAGTATCATAAAAACTTTATATACTAACCCCATGGGATCTATTTTAAAAACACCTCCGACTGCTTCCAAAGAAGATATAGTAAATACGTTGAATTTAGCACAGATTACAATAGGATCTAATATAGATCAGCCAAGCGCAGGTACAAATACCACCTTTGCTATTCGTGACACGAAATATGTGCGAGGATCTCTTTGATCTTATAACGATTTTGATCTCTATTTTCTTTCAGGCCATGAAAACGATGTGAAATCCTTACAGGGAGAAGTAACAGGTGCAACCAGCGGAGGCGACGACGAGACCGAAACGGACGAAACACCAGAAAATCAGCATTCGATAGGATCGATATTGCCTAGGTTAGGATCGAAATAATCGATATAAAATATTACAATGACGGAGATACTTTGTACTTTAACGTGCCTCGTTTTCGCCACTATACAGTTACAAACGAGCATTTATCGATTACAAAGGACCATCTAAAGGAGATTTTTTATTCGGAGAGAGCGAGTTCGAGCCAATGACGATGGAATATACTTCGAGTTATATGCACAATATGATAAATAACGATAACGACTGGACGTTGTCCAAAGAGGCTTTCCCTTTACGACACGAGATAAAAGATAGATCTCCGCCGCCCGAACAATTTCCAAATCATCTTCCGGATATTAACGAAGATTGTGCCTCGTTGATGATCGAAGATCAACCGAGCCAATTGATAGTATCGAATATACCTAAACCACAATTTTGGGATCCTACGATATTGATCGAAGAAGCTTTGAAACATCACGCGGCGCTCAGAGATATACAGACTTCTGCGTCAATTCTCATCGCATTAGGAGAGAAACGAAAGAACTTGAACATTGAAACCGCTGTCCAAGAACATTGGATATTAGAGTATTTAGATATGCTCGCAAAGTTTAAACTTTGGAACGTGGCTACTCAGGTTAGTGATCGAATTATAAAAAACAGAAAAAGTATAGCTACAGTAGTGTCCACTTAAGTGACCGCACGCACTTTTGCATGGTTTCGGGTACCAGCTATTGTATCTCATTCGCATTTATCCTCTTTCCTAATCTCCGTTCAATTCTAAGAAGTAATCATGCCGCTGAAACGACCATGGCCGGACATTTAAATGGGCAGTACTGTATTCGAAGCTGAGCGTTGGGTAATTGTACGCCAGTACGCAGTAACATCATACGTTTACAGATAATCCAGTCGGTTTGGATACCGTCGGTGTCGCAATTAAATCAACAATCAACGGTAATACACGCGTGTTGTTTAGCGTGTACGAAACCATTGCAAAGGGCAGCATGGTTGTGCGATCGATGTCATTCGTCTCATCACGCGCTTTGTTCCGTTTGTCATCAAGTGAGATATATTTAATATATTTCTTCTCTCCTAGTATTCATACGTTTCACATTGGACGTCGTATTTTATGTCTGTTCGCAGGTTGTTCGAGGAATGTACGCATGGTGTCAGGGATGCACGCACGGAGGTCACGTTGTTCACATGAACGAATGGTTCAGATGTAATCGGCAATGTCCAACCGGTTGTGGTCACATGTGCGAATATATTTAAAGAGTTTACGACGACGATTCCTTTGGCCCCATTGTAAGTTTACAATACATGTATATATATCATTATGTAGTACAACATTATTTCATATATTTTGTAAAAGTTGAAAATGTAAATTATTCTCTGGGTAGCTGAATACTAATGAGATTAAATTGTTTATTAATTTTACACGTTAACGATACGTTAACGATTCGATAGTGTGCGATAAGTTTCGATCTTATATCGATAGTTTTCTTTCTTGTTTTCGACGTGAAAGCCGATACAAAAATACTTGTTTGCGCAATCGACGTTAGGAACTATTTTTCGAAATACAAAAGATGTACATAAATCAGACGATCATTTTCTCTTTACATTAAAAATAGTATACTGTAAAAAAAATTATGCAAAAAACTGTACAAAGTTTCATAAAATTCAAAATTAAACGAAATTAGATTAACTATTTTTTTGATTCACTTTAATTATTACGCTCTTTACTTCGGTGTACGCTTGGAGACCGTATTCACCGAGCTCTCTTCCGTGTCCTGACATTTTATAACCACCGAATGGCACTTGAGGCGCTAGAGCGTTATACGTATTAACCCTGGAAAACAAATCCGATAAAATAACGAATCGAAGAGAAATGCTAGATTTAAGTAGTTTCACTTAACGGAGAATAATTTGTCGAGTAACGTACCAAACAGTGCCTGCTCGAAGTCCCTGAACTATGTAATTCGCCTTGTCGATGTCCTTTGTGAAAACGGCTGCCGCCAATCCATAATCAGAATTGTTTGCTCGATTAATTACTTCGTTTAGACTGTTGAATTTCAAAATTTGTTGAACCGGTCCAAAGATCTGCAATTATCAATGTTCGTGGTAGCATTGAAAATAGTTGTTGTTTAAATAGAATTAATTAGGTTTAAAGAATGTGTTCGCCGTACCTCTTCCCTGGCAATGGTCATATCGTCCGTAACGTTGGCAAACACGGTCGGTGCAATAAAGTAGCCCTTATCACCGACGCGCGAACCACCCGAAACTAGCTCCGCTCCCTGATCTTTACCTTTCTTTATCATAGATAGAATTTTATCCGCTTGGTCCTGGTCGATCTGTTAAAATTCGAACAATCGAATGTTGTAATATGTATGTAAAACGAACGTGTTTTATATATTTTATACCTGTGGTCCTTGCTCCACGTTCGAATCAAACGGATCACCGACGACTCGAGACTTGGCGCGCGCGGCACTTTTCTCGACAAATTCATCATAAATACTGTCTTCGACGAAAGTTCTGGATCCGGCACAGCAACATTGACCCTAATGTACACGCAAGACGCGTGATTAATGAACATTCATTAATATTCGATAATTCTACGAAATATATTACGGTACCATGTTGAAGAATAGACCAAAGTGAGCCGTTTCCACAGCGTGGTTGAGGTCAGCGTCCTTAAAGATTATGTTTGGAGATTTTCCACCAAGTTCTAACGTGGTCCTCTTCAAGTTGCTCGTCGCGGCGCCCTGTTTTATCAGCTGTCCAATCTCGGTCGAACCGGTAAATGCTATTTTGTCAACTCTGTCGTGCGCGACTAACGCAGCTCCGGCTTTACCGAAACCGGGAACGACGTTAACCACTCCGCTAGGAAATCCAGCTTCCTTCGTTAATTGGGCCATGTATAAAGCCGTTAATGGCGTCTGCTCCGCGGGCTTTAGTATCACAACGTTTCCTATAAAACGTAACGATAGACTTGTTCTTTATACGTATTTTTAACTATTTGAGATTTTAACGAGAAATTAATTTCGAGTGATTCGTCGAGGATTCAAATATATGTATATGTATATTTATTAGATATGTACCTGTAGCTAAAGCAGGTCCCAATTTCCAAGCCATCATTAAAAGGGGAAAATTCCAGGGAATAATTTGGCCGCAAACGCCGACTGGTTCGTGGCGCGTATAAGCCAAGTATTGTCCGTCCATAGGAATTACTTGACCATGGTTTTTGTCGGCCAAACCAGCGTAATATCTGAGGGTCGCTGCGCTCGCGGGTATATCGAACCCGTACGACACGGAATAAGGTTTACCATTGTCGAGCGTTTCCAACGACTGAAACCAACCAGTTAAAATCTTAATTGATAATGGTATTGTTTCGTCCAGCTAATCTGCAACAGAAAACTCACCGCCAAATAGGAATGATTCTGTTCTATCAAATCGGCCAACCTATGCAAAAGTACACCGCGTTTAGAAGCATCCATGGTTCTCCATGGCGAGCCCAATCTGAACGCTGCGTTCGCTGCTTCCACGGCTACATTTATATCCGCGGCGTCACCTTCCTGGACCTCGGCGATCGTTTCGCCGGTCGCAGGATTTATCGTGGGAAACGTTTTTCCTGATTTTGATCGGTGCCACTCGTTGTCGATGAAAATCTGAAAGAGAGATACATTGGTGGAAATTAGCTCGTAAAAGAAACGATGCTCGAGAGGCAAAAATGTTTTGGATAAAGCGTAAAGCAAACTGTTAGATAATATCCCGACAAATTTATCAAGATAAGTCTATTAATCGGGTTACATAAAAATAAGCAAATAACGTGTATTTGTCCTGGGTGAAAGATAATGGTCAACCAAGGTTTTAATGTCGCCAGCCGTTATTTTCGTCCCGTAGAGATTAGATACGCGATGCTTGTCTTTAGATCTGACTTGCCGCGCGTACTATATATGGAAATTGCAAATATCATGGTTATCAATTTTCTTTTTTACAGCTTCCTATCGTTGCTTATAGTTTCGAACGTGATAAAATTAACGGAGATAGGAGATACGTGTACGTGTCGACCGACGTAAATATTTTCTTCCCACAAGATCCCCTGGAATTGCGTAATTTTCTCTGTCGATGGTGAAAGAAAAAACGATGTACATCAAAATATTTATCTTACATCGACTTGGAAACTGACTTCGTAATCGATGATAGGACAATTTACACAAGACTGTGATAAACATTAGGATAGGAGTAATATTAAAATCAAAGTTATAAGAAGAGAGAGAGAGAGATAATTTTTGTCGTTTTGGTGCTTTCAACGTGTATCGTACAGTATTTTTGCTGTTATACGTATTAAAAACGTCTTGGGTACATTGTATGTTGTGTACACACATGTATATGCAGGAATCGTTCTAGGAATTTGTACATATAGTAGCTGGTTCGTACAAAGTAATTTCATTCTAATTATACGATACTATTTTTATTCGACGTATAATATATAAATAATAATTATTCTATATCAATTATTTCAGTCGTTAAAATGAATTTGTCGTATTATTATGAAATATTACGCAGGAAATTCGAACTCTGTTGGGAATTTTCCAATTCAAAGGCATTTGCATACTTACTCCGGCATATAGAATCGATGGATTTTTCTCGGGCGCTGGGATAGCCGCGGTGGAAAAGCATCGTGAGTACTGTAATTTTCCCAACAGTCGTAACATGACGAACGTTTTTTTCTCAAGTTGGTTAACTAATTTTACGACGGATCACCACCACGAGTTGTTTCACGTACGTCAGTCGAAACGATACTGTTCCACGTTTCATCGGTCGGTTACCGGAATAGTAATCTAGATGGTGGTGGTTCAGATAGATGGTGGAACTCTTCGCACAGGCGTGTTGAGTCTCTGTGTATGTTGCGGGCAATTATGTAATACCGATGATGGATCATAATTATTTGTCAACTCATTGATTGCGACTGTATCGTCTCGATGATATATTGTACTTTTAGAAAAAGCTGCGATACTTGGCATTGCCAAGGTTAGATCCGTTAACGACATTGTACGCTATTGGACGCTGCCACTAGTGATCGTAGATTCCCTTCGACTTTGCGTTGCTATTGGCGAGACCGAACAGACATTTTCCCCTACCGCTTTGCAATGTACAGGCAACGTACGATTAAGAATATCTCTATTCGAGTATCGGGCAACGTACGATTTGAGACGCGTTGAGAGTAAACAGTATCGTGCGGTATCATTTGTTAGAAATTTTTTATCTGTTAATTTCCAACGGTTATACGTAAACGCAACAATCTTCCCTAGATTATTATACATTTTTACTTGGACCGTGGTACAGCGAGAGACATTTTTCTCGTCGTAGCGCGAAACTCAAACACTGGTCGGAGGGGGGCTATCAGGGCTGTGGTATTTTGCCTTTTACTTTTCATTTTTAAGACCTGATAATTATGAATCTTTTATTGTCTTGAAAAGTGAGTAAACCAATCGAGATCAATGCTTGATGCGCTTTGGGTTGGTCTGGTCGGTAACAAGCAATTTGGATAGAGCATCGAAGACCTTCGAAGAAGTTCATTGACGCGTATCGTAAAAAAAAAAATAAAAACTCTTTTTGTTCAAGGAGTCGAAGGTGATAAAACGAGTGCATCAACTTTATTGATAAAATTGAATATAATTGACCTGTTAGCATCGATTCTTACTTATTCGAAATTATAGAAATTTGTCAACGTTTGTTTCAAGTTTTTCGTGCATCGTGTCACGAGCTTCGCAAACGATCGGATATCCGTAACGCATAACAATATAGAACACGGTACAAAGACAAGTATTGCTTCGGAGTTACAAAACGAAAGGAGTACACGAGTGCCGTGAACAATGGATTTTGTCCGTACGGAAACGTAAAAAGCGGGTGTAATTCGTTTTACATAATAAATGCCTATTTTTACCTGTAAACATGACATTTATTTCGAGAGTTATGTACAAGACTCGCGTAACCACGCAACAGAGGTCCTGTGTAACGAGCATTAGGCTCTCGGATAGTTACGCTTTTCCGAACATCCGGACGCCTCTCTTCTCCGACTCTATTTATCGTAGGCTTCTCGATTTTTCCTCGGAAAGAACGAACAGAAAAACATACGAACGAAAAAATACAACGTTTTATCGATTTCGCTTACTAGGCATGCACATCACATCCAGAATTCGTCCGTAAACTTTTTAGACTGAAACATACTTTGTCGACGAACAGACGCCGGCCATTTGTCGTGAAAAAGTGACAGTTACGGTTCGAAGAAAAGGATTATCTTGAAAACAGAAACCGTTTCGCGTATCTTATACTCGAACCTTTTCCATAAACGCGCGTGTTTTGAGCCGTTCTGTAGAATTAGTAGTTGCGTCTATATGGTATAGCAGACGAAATAAATCTAGCGATTCTCGATAGTTAGATAGAAACTGCTAATTAAGTTTTCTACTGCACTGCGGCGGCAGCAGCTCTTGAACATTTTTACGTTCGAAAAAGATTCTTTCGGACCGTCTCTGCGATTCGTATCACACTTATTTAGAGAGCGCTATTGTCTCGGCACCTTTGAATTTTTACAAGATCGCTATATTTGTTTCACCGACGATACCGAGAGGAGTCTGTTTCGATCTTTAATGCGACATTATTTTTATTCAGACGAGACGAAGCTTAACGTAAATCGTATCCTTTGAGTCTATAAAATTATTTAAAACGATTACGTTTACAGAAATAAAGTTAGGTAAGACGCATACGGTAATGTTTGTCAGCGCTCGTCTCGTTACAGGCTATTTTCTTCGTCGAATTTGTACAGGATCGGTGATTTCCCGTTCCCTAACGATACGTACGTCTCGTTCTCGAAAACGTTAGCTAGAATAAATAAGATAAAAACGAAACGCGAAAGAAAGATTGCGCGTAGAAAGAAAAGTATTTGTTTGATCTTGCAAGCATTCGCTCCGTCGCGTCGTACAGTATCGACGAGGAATAGAAATTTGTCGAACGTTTTACGAAGGCCGGCATCCGCGTCCAGGCATTTGCCTTTCCTTTCGAGCATGTATTAGGTTAAAAGTTCGCTTATATCAAAAACTGTTTATTCGAGATCTAGCGAGAGTATTTCGAGGTACATACGTGGAAAAGCATCGCGCTCGTACTTGGACGTAGATGTATAATGGTACGTATGTACCTATGGTGTCGGATGACGACGCCGACGGTCGATGGTACGTGATTACGTAACGCGTTGTACGAACGCGAGACTATCGGTGTTCGCCGGCAACGGTCCGTGCGATCGAATCGACGCAATATCGAGGGTAATTGGAATATTTTTTTTCTCTCGTCCCGTTCCCCAATACCACAATTAATATGCCGATTAGTGAATACCGCCGCGATTACGAACACGCGGTTGCGATAGAGTTAGAAGAAACGGTCGAGACACGGTTTACGAACCAAGCAAGATTTACCAAACGATAACACCACGGGTCGAGAATAAGAAAACGATGGCTCCGTATCGGACGGGCGATAGATCTTTTCCGCGATCGATGATACTACGGCCCGTAATACCGATACCGCGCGAAATTCGAAACTAATTGTTGGAAGATCGTTAAAGATACTCGACGATGTCGCATTTGATGGATATATTCGGACAGCTGGCCACGCTGGCACCGTAACCGCCTCTCGACGTGCTCTTGTGTCTCTCGGTGAGCAGCTTCTGAAAGATGGGAAGAATCGTTACATCCAGCAGCTCGCCGTCAGACACAGCACTGTACATCTTGGAGACGTTGATCGCCGAACCACCGACAACGTCCGAGCTGCTGGTCACGGATCCAGCTACTCTGGCACCACTTCTGGTTCCGGCTACGCCGGCACCGCGTTCGCCCGGCCCTCCGCGTTCCTCGACGCCTCCGACGCCACCGCCACCGCCAACGCCTCCGCCGCGCGGATTCGCGCTCGCGAATTTATTATTGTGAATGGTGGCCACGTTCGGCGTACTCTGCACGTACTCCAGTCGAGCCTGTTGCCGAAGCTTCGGCTCGGTGTGCCTGCATTCTCGTATCCTCCGGGCGGCACGATGGGGACACTCGGTCGCTGCGTTGTGCTCGCTTCGAAGACGCGGACACGTCTCCCGCGATCTCTCGGACACGGACCGTTGAATGATCGTCGAGACCGACTCGTCGCATTTCTCTGAAAGCGCAGAGATCGAAGACGATCAGCTTACCTTGGTAAATATTAGCAGCCAGCAGCCAGGCACGTCCAGCCTGCTCTGACGAGATTTATCGTTGGACGTGCCTGGTTGGTGGTGGTGGTGGATTACTAGGCGATGCTCGTGCTCACCCGTGTCGGAGTAGCTCGCGCTGACGACCGCCGGCACGCTCGGAGAACTCGCGTTCTGCGAGTCGTAGTGCTTTCGTTGCCTCCGTGGCGCGGGCGGCGTCTCGGCGGAGCCGTTGTAGGTCGCGCGAGAGTGTCCACCGCGGCCGCCGTGCTTCTCGCAGCGGTAACCGGTACCGGTACCGGCGCCGGGCATCACCGCTCGTCTGTGCCCGCACTCGCCGATCACGTACGATTTGTCCAACGAGCCCATAGAGACCTCCGTCCTCTCGGACTTGGACACGTTCTCGGTCGAGATGTAGCTGATGGAGTTGACCGGGACGCTCGTACGGCGTGTTTGGAACAGCTCGTGATGAGAATGGGCCATTCCGTTGTTTTTCACGGACGATCTCCTCTTGAGCGATTGATGGGAGGACGCGATCGTCGAACCTGCGCCACGGAACCAAGTTTACGAGTAGCGTAAGCGCGAAATATATTGGCCGCGTACTCACCGGAATGTCGATGCTTCGCTACGAATTGCGACGGAGGTGGGAGTATGGCTTGCTCGAGGTAGTTTTGCTCGTGTAGTTCGCCGAAAGAGACGTTCTTCGCGGGTAGCGGCGTCGGAAGCCTAGACCTGCGATCGTCCCTGCATCTAACCGGTTTCCCGTGCCTGGGGATTTCAGTCTCTTCGAGAATAACGGCGTCGCCCTCCTCGACGATTTCCGGCACGAATTCGACGTTGGTTTTGCCGTCCGGACGCGGTTCCGGGCTCCTCTCGATAAGAGGTTCGCTCTCTTTCCCGGAGCGGCTTCTTCTACGCGTCGGCTCGTTTGCCGCGTGTTTCAAAGCCGAGGGTGGCGCGTTATCGTCGGACGTCTTTGAGGCGTCCCCTTTAACGGCGTCTACCTGCGGCACCAGGGGCACCCGCTCACCGTCGATGGCGATCGCCGGAACTTTCGAGAAGGACGTCTTCTTCCTGAGAAGCAGGCCGACTGCTTAAAAACTGTCAACTTTCGTTTTCCGTAGTCGCGCGATCGATTTTTACGCACTTTGCCGATTGTTGATCGAGGTTCGCGAAATCGCCCTCCGGTTGAGAAATCGTCATCGAATTGAGGCTGCACATCGACATCGAGATATCGGTTGTCTCCGTGTTCACGGACAGACCTGCGACACAACGGCGAAAATATTCATCTCGATAGTCCGATATACCATCTAGCTATAGCGCGATCGTTACCCTCTTTCTTTATCGTCGCGTCTTGCCTCGGGACCGTCAACCTGTCCATCGCTTCTTGCGTGTTCGACGTAGCTTGGTCGTCGAGCCTCCTTACGAACATCTGCGATCGGAAAAGTCGTTTACTTCGCCACCGCCCCCCGCCCCACCCGTTCGTAACAACGATCTGGGAAACCAATTCGTTTCGCTCACCTGAAGTTCCGAATCTTTCTCCAACAGCTGCTTACGAAAGTTTTGATTCGCTAGCGTAGCCTCTTTCAGACGTTCTTCCAATTCGCTCATGCTCGAGTCCCTCCGCGTCTTCGACATCGGCCTCAGAGTAGCTCTCATTCGTTTGTCTATCGCTCCTTGAGGATTTCTTCGCAGTTCTATGAGCTGCCATCGAAAAATCGAAAAGAAGCTCTGTTAAGGTACCGCGAATCTCTAGGTGCAAAGAATTTGCGCGTTAAAGTACCTTCGGTACGAAAACCAGGCACAGCGTGCCCGTGCTGCAGAATATTATGAATACCGCCAACATTATGAACATGGCGTCTTGTTTGTCGGCCAACACGAAGCTTATGGCTGCTCCGGTGACGCACATAATCACGACGTTGTACACGCTCATTCCGACGTATTTGCTGTCGTTTAGCGCCGGAATACTGACGTGTCTCGTTTCCCATGCCAAAAAAGCGCCGAATATCTGTAACCCGGAAAAGTATCTCTCACGCTTTCCTCCTATCTGCCCGTACTCTTCAGACTACGCACCATCAACAGTCCTTTGTACGCGTATATACACCCTAAATAGACGGTCATCCGATTACTCTGACAGTACTCGTTTTCCGGTATTATTATAATATCCTCGCTTGAAGGATGGGGCTGAAAGAACAAAGAGTTGTCCGATACATATGTATTTACAATCGATTCTTTAACGCGCGCATCTTCTCGACTGGCAGGTCGTCTCTTCGATCGAATGTACTTTTAAGGGAGATCGTTACTCACGTAGGGTTCCATTTGTTTGGTTTCCCTGTAGAACGGATCCGCCACCTGCCACGTCGTCATAATCCCCAAATCGATAAACAACAATACACCGACCACCATAAACAACTGGTAATCCTTTATGACCTAAACAGCGAGAGACGTACGTATACGCGTACATTAGGATCGTAATTTGGTAAGCCAAGGTACCCCCCTTGCGCGATAGCCGGCAAACACGACTCACCTTTTTATTGAGCTTTACGTCGGTGAAGATGGAATGTACTCGCCATGTTTTGGAGAACATGGAACCAAAGGCCAACGAGAAACCAGCCATCAGTAGCCATGCTCTTGCGGTGCAAATATACGGAAATGCCGTTACGCTGGACAGCTGCGAATCTAACCCAAGGAAAATTACACTGCTGTAGGTCAGCATGCATCCGACGATAATGAGGTTGTTTAAATGCGGCGATGACATTTTTATATATCTGAAATGTTGAAGATGATCGATCGTGAGGAGAAGATTACAATATACCGACGTACGAGTAAAAAGGACGAGCGCGCGCGCGATCAACGATTTTTTCTCTTATCGTTGCGCTCTCTCCGAACGCATAAACAGCCCAAATAGGTACACCACCACCTTGCTTCCATCTTACGGCCCTCGACAGTATGATAGTTTCTCAAGCCAACTCGTGATATACAATACGTATATTACGTGTATCTGTGTGTACCTCGGTTTCGTGGCCGTTCCTTTTTTTTTAAACGAACCGACAGGAAACTCGCGACGCTATCGATTCTGTGAACCTGAATTGGGACAATCGTTTCTCGATTAATTACCTTTGATTTCTGTACTTAATATTGATGGCGAGAAAAATGGCCGCCATGACGATACCCACGCTGGCCGCGGAAGTCAGCACCGCATAAATTGTAATATTTACAGTCGAGTGCTCGATGATATGAAGCGTTCGATCTTTCGGCGGCGACCGTCCTCTCCAGACCATAGGTTGACCTCTGGTCAGGTCCAATACACCGGTCACACCATCGAATTCTCCCACCTTGACTTCGCTACCGCCTGCAATAACAAAGCCCGTTGAAATATCGTGTATCTACGAAGATGCCGCTTCGCGTTACTCACTTTGAAACTGTTTCAACAGAATGTACGCTTTTCGTTCGTTATCGTAGAAACGTACAGGCCCCTGAAAGATCAAGCACACTCGTTTCACATTTCCGAGTTTGTAACAGTTGCTAGAAATTCGCTCCTCGACGCCGAAATTCCGTCGATCGGGTATCACGAATCACGAAATTACCGACAAAGCGTCAACGAACCGTAGGAACGAACGGTCCCGTGTCCCTTACGCGTTATTTGATTTCATTGGTCGATTAATTATCCCGCGTGGCCGTGACTTCTCGTTTATTTTCGCGCACGATCGAATCTCGATTCGCGTGTCTCGGTCAGGCGGAAAAGCAGAACGAAGGCTCGAAATACGCAAAAAAATAAACGGAGATTTACATACGACGGTGCTGGTGCTTTAATCGTCGCGCTCCAGCGTAAAGTTTCATTTGTTTTAACGCGTTCCCTCGAATCAGGAAGTTGCTCGCGAATCGTTGATTTATCGACGCCCGCCGCGACTGCATTATCGATTCGTTTGTTGTTCGTTCGTTCGTTCGTACCACTTTGGAAAGCAACGAAACAACGAAAAAGGATTCGGATTACTCGAAACTAAATACTCGTTTCGTCCTTGGTCGATCCAATTAAACCGTTATCTCGTTCCTCACCGTCACTCCCTCGAAACTGGTATTCCTGAGGGCCTCGAGGAAAAGCTTCTCCCAGAGCGCGTCTCTGTATCTGAAATCCGATATGGTCTGATTGCGACGATAGTGTCTTATCCTGCGCGCCACGTGTTGTATCGCCAGAGCGACCGCCCATATACCATCGTACGTGTATCCGTGGAATCTCGAATACTCCGTGCCCCGTCTCGAGTCGTACTCGACCCGATATTGATCCGGCGTCTGTAAAACATTCGAAAGGGAAACTTTAACGATTGTCCAACGATTCGTCGCGACCGCGATAACACCAAGGGTTGATCGCGCGCCTGCCTAAGCTCCGGAAAATTAAACAATACGCTTGGAACGTTTCCTGCCGCGTCCTCATTCGGACAACCTCCTCCGCCTGTTGTCTCTGGTCAGCCAGATTCTTTCGTTTTTACGAACCAAGGTCGAGTTTTACTTACAATGCCGGACACGGTGTACCGTTCTTCCGTCGTCAGCGGGAGCAAGTCCGTCAGAATGGCACCGTGGAGAGCTTCGGAAAGCTCCGTGGGAGCGCAACCACCGCCGGATCGAAGCCACCATTCTTCCCCGTACGTTCCCATGATCACCCATTGATATTTTCGTCCAAACATACCGAATCTGCGAACGCAACTGCCTCGAGCTAATCGTTTACGACGAGTAAACTACCAAATATTTCATGCACGCACTTGTACGCTTCGCAGAATATCCGTCTAGCCCAGACTTCGTTGAAATTCCCCAAAATTATCCTAACGTCCTTCTCCTTCAGTTTTTCGAGGGCCGTGGACACCTCCGTGGCAAAGCTCTGCGTCTCCACGACCTCCATATTGCTGTCGTCCAAATCGGCGACCAATCGATTGTGAGCCTGCAAAGATAAAACACATGATGGGACTCGTTGGATTTAGACCGGTCGAGAAAACCCCGATTAAATCGATTTAGCATCAGTCTTGTCTGTTTATCGCGCGTTTAAACGGTTAAACTGGTCCAGGGTGCGAAAACTCTTTCGTCGAGGATGTAGTAACGGATCTTGGGTCCCGGAGGCGTTGTTGAAACACCCAAGAGAAAAGTTCTTTAGAGAAACATTGTACTTGGAGGTAAGGTGGATCGCTCCGATTTACCATATGGCCCTTGGTAAGGAACCAATCGCGGTGAATCACACGACACGCCTAACAATTCCGAATAGGAAAAGAAGACGAATGGTCCGTCGAATTGGTTCGTAAGATGCCGCGCGTTCAGGAAATGAAACGGTCGCTTAATGTTTTTGGTAGTCGACCGTTTCAATTATTAACGATCCAAGTTGGACGTTAACGTAGCGAAACTGTGCGCGGCTGCATGCAGAGCATCGTACCGTGGACCAGTTTCCGCGGGAGCTCCGTAGAAACCATAATGCGGCAAGTTTAAAAGGTTTCCGCCGATGGCGACCGACTCGACGTTACGTTGATTTCGCGCCGCGTTTTATTAGGTTTCCGTGAAACTTGAAATACTTACTAGGGAGTACCTCGGCTCGTTTTGGTAAATCGTACCGACTCTGGTCCAATTGAAGTGTATCAAGAGCGCTACACGGGGGGCATTGAACGCATTCTCGGATGGCACCACTCGAAAGAAATTCGGGAAGCTGTTGCTCGTGAACATCGGATGCGTGTCCGCGTAGCTGAGCTGCAACAGAAACAACAACGCGTTTCGACATGAGTACGATCCGTACGAGCCGTGCACTTCCGGTGCAAATGATGTTTCAAAAGACATTGGGTCTTACCTGAGTGAGTCGCCAATGCTTGGACGCTTTGGCGATGGGATCCGTGACGTGCGTGCAAGCTGCGCCAAACAGCATCACTTTGTGCGGTCCGCTGTGCATCATGTCGAAAAACGCTTTCACGCCGACGGCCGCGTTGCACTGAAACAAAATTACGGAATTTCTGCTCGCGATCAGTTTGCACGCGTTACTTTTCTATCGGTTTTTGCGCCACGGTTCAACGAAACGAATAATATTTTAAATCTCTGCTCGTTTATCGACACTAAACGTTTCCAAGGGGTTCTCCATGGATCGAGGCTACTTTCCCCATACGAAAATGATTCAATTTTTGAATTCAGTTTCAACGTATAACCGGCGCGGCGGTTCGCATCTTTTCCCCCGTAGTCCCATTTTCTCTCGCCGGTTGCTCTCTATTTTTATTTCCGCGGCAGCGCATAGCGCGGCGCCCGCATTTCCATAGTATGAACGTGTCCGCGTATATTTTACGACGGCGCTCAGAAAACGTCAGGAGCAGCTCGGTAACAAATCCCGTGTGTCAAAGCGATGCTTCCCGCTTCTCCATCGAGGATGCTCCAAGACAAGCAGCTGGCCGAGAGCGCAAACAAACGTGCAGCGTAGACCGCAGAGGCATTAGAAACGAGAATGGAGCGTGAAAATGTACGATACAACTATTCCTTATTTGGATATACTATGTATATCTAGGTTCCGCATTGGGAAACTTTCATTGTCGCCTTTCCATCGACTCGTGCGTTGTAAACGCTTTACGAGGCGAGATCGAGATTAACGCGCCAAAAGTACCACGGTCAGAATGTAGAACACACGGGGCATCTTATTTTCGTTGACCGCGGGAAATGTCGTGGCATTACCTTAAATAGTCTCGTGCTATAATTACGAGCGTAAACGATTTCCGCAAAGCTTGAATCTTGCACGTAAAACGATTGGTATTTTTGGCAGGAGCGCGATAAAATCTTTACGAATTTATAAGACGTACGGGGAGAAGCATTGCGCTCGCGAGCCCGAAAGCTTGAAATAAACGTCGATCGTGACTCGATCGGAAAGTGCGCGTACCTACGTAGCTCGCACGTTTGTCAAGGTAGCCGATACACGGCTAGGTGGAGAGAAGCGAGAGATTGTACGCGGCGTGCAGGCGACAGATGCGCTAGTATATTGCATTTGGATACCACAAACGGCATACCGGGAGAGCGTCGCGTCGGTGTGCGCAGCGAATTAGCGATTCCTTGCGGATCGACGTACACGTTGGCCCAGTGAACTCGTTTCGAAGCATTTAAGCCCAAGTCGCTGGTATTAATTACACGTCTACGTCATATGCGGTTGCCCCGCAACCGATACCGGATCTTCGTATCGATATCAATTTCGTTCGAAATTCCATTATCTTCGCCGTAACCAACGTATTAATTCATAACTTGGCGAACTTGCCCTTCTCCGTTCTCCAAGGGCCTGCGATTACTTTGTCGGCGTTCGTCGGGAAGGGGCATTGTTATACGTATAGCCGACATGCGGCCGCACGATAACGCGTGCTCGGCAAACCGAAGACATCGTCGTATCAAGTTTACGCGATCGAGGAAGCGCGGACTCTGAGAACACTGTCGACGGTTCTTTTCAAGGGTTCCCCTCGTTGGAAGGGTTTTAATGGAGCCGTAGTGCTCCTACTATCGACGGGTAATCGGTCGCGACTCGGGTAGCGTGAAACGCAACGCCTTGGCTGTTTAGGTGTTGGCTTCGGGCCATATTGGCTGCCGCGGCCTTCCGAGGTACCCTCGGAAAACAGGAAACGCTAACAAACTGCGAAACGAACAAGAAACAGAATTGTTCGACGCCAGGCTTTGTGGGGCAAAACGTCGTCAGGAGGAGGTGCGTTCTTGTTTCTTGTTGATACGTACCTACGCGGCCGTAAGCCGTAGCCAACAAACGGTGCACGATCCTGACCGATTTCAATGAAATATTCGAGCAAGAAGACAGAGGAGGGTCTTCGTTTCTAAGGATACGATCGCGAATATTAATTTCCAGCAAGTCAGAGTCATACGTGTGTCGCGTACGAGCATTAATCTCTTTGGTACGCGGAACGTTCTCGTTGCGAACGACGATAAAAAAACTATATTTACGCAAGAGTAAGGATCCATGACGGGTGAGAAATTTGTACTTGCTGAGATACGATCGTCCGATTTGACGATACCTACTCGGAATTGTAGCATTAAGGTAACGCTAAACCTGCACTCGTTTAGTCAACCACCGTTATCTCGAGCCTCGCACGCCACCGAACAAGAGGATTAAAGACCAACTCTGTTCCATTATTTTCTTCTATCGCGATCGCAGCTATTAATTTCGCTCGAGTCCATAGCGACTTTCCAGGAATAAGTAAAACGAGATTGCCTGTCCCGAAGCTTTGCCAGCAGCTCGAGACCTGTCCACCGTTTCGTTCTTCTTCTTTTACCGAAAGGTTACCCTACCACACAAACCTACGAAATCCATTCTATTGTGCCGACTATCGATACTAACATTCCATTAAAAGTTCGGTGCCTCGAAACGAAACGAGACGAGGCACCGATGTCCCACGTTATTCGAACAGCTGGCTACTTTATCGAACAGATTGCTAATTTATTTCTGTTGATCGTTATGGTATCTAGTACGAAGATATTATTCAGCTCGGCGGAAACCTCGTCTATAAATATAGGCGGTCTCCTTTAGCCGCCTGGCCTGCAAAAGTAACTAGCCAACTTCCTTAAAACTCGTTGCACTTGGTCGGTCCACGGTAAAGTACCAGTTTATTTTCAAACTCGATGTTCAACATCTGCGTTCCTTTAAATCGTCGTATCGTTATTTATTTCTAGTTTCGATTGCCCTCGATCGGCTATTGTATTACGGAGAGAAGAAAGGTACAGTCTCGGAGTAAGAGGAACGCGGTCCCGGATATCGCGTATAATTTTCTCCTACGAAGATTTACCGTGGCGTCTGATAACAATACGATAAATGCCATTTCCATTTGTTAGAGTATTTTCAGCTATTTTCCTAATAGTGCTATCGTAAATACTTTGGCGGCGACGCGACGTAGCTTCGCAAAGTTTCGTGCAAAAGCAGTGTGTATTTTACGATACCGTTGCGGTTTGGAAACCGAAGCAATATTTTAACGGCCTCTAAAATTCGGGAAACCCTGGCTTTCGGCCTGAAAACATCGCGAGCTTCGCGTTGCTGTACCGGACTGGCTGACTGCAGTATTTCCAGACTACAATCCTGATATCGTAGGTACTTACATAGAGAATTCTAGGAATGTGGAAGGAATCGAGATCCGGAATCGTGCGTTTCTGGCATCGTATTACGGGCCGCTGTCGGGAAAAAGAAAGAAAAATCGTCCGACACTATACGTATATACATTTTTTACTGATCCACGAATCCAAAAAGTACATCCTGAAAAGATAATTTGATTTATTTGCTCGGCAACTTTTCTGTGTTTTGATTTAAATGTATTTACATTCGTTCCAAGTAATATAATACGCGTCCTACTTTACCGCGCTCGTGATTGTTTTTTAAGCGGACGTACGTCCGAATAAAGGCTACGTATTTAAATAATATCGATTGGAATAACACCCATACATCGAGCATTCGATTCACAATCATGGATTTCTGTCTAGTCTTTTCGTAATTTCGATGCTTTAAACTATTTGTTGGAGACACCGTGTGCTTTTTTTCTTATTTTATGCTATTGAAAATTACTCGATCGAGTTGTTTACAGCGAAAGCAAGGAACGGAATGTCTTCCCGGGGCGAATGTTCCCGGCAATTCGAGTGCAAAGTGTCATTCGTAAAGTTTGCTGGTAACTCTTTTGCTTTGGAGAGCAATGCTCGTTTAGGAAGTTTCTGCGTGCCCGATTCTCCGGGTTTTGCGAACGTGACCCAGATAATTATGCATGCGCATGTACATCGAAGGGATGCACCTTTGGTCATTGTTGCAGATACGCGGAGCCAGGAAAGCGGGGAAATTTAGCGAGACCGCTGTTGCATGCCGATGTGCCACAGCAATCCGATAATCAGGACAATCGCTATTGCTTCGTCTCTTAAACGTTCGATCGGAAATAACGAAACATCTGGTACAACGACGCGGCGGGCCGAGATATTTTTTACGGTTGTTTAAGTATCTGTAATGCCAATTTGGATAATTTCAACGGGTTGACAATTGTTTTTTTCTATTCGGTTACCAACGAGAGGCCTGTCACGGTACTTACCGCACTGCGACGATTTCGCATCGCACTCGACGGAATTAAATGGGATTGTTTTGTGTCGCGTTTCATGGCGTAGGAACAGAATCGAACGTTCGTTCCGTCCGGATCAATCGATCCCTCGTTACCCACCATTATTACTCGTCGCAGGGTTAATCACGACACCCGGATGCAACAGCCGTGCAATAGCTCAGGATATCCGGCAAATAGAATCTCTCGGATTGGCAGTCAACTTTTCAAAGTAAACGAAAATGCTAACAGCGTTGGCAAGAACAGCTTCAAGCGACAATGACAAAGTTTGCGGTAAGTTTTATTGGATCGTACGAGAAGATAATTTCTCCGCGTGTTAAGGGAGCTTTCGACTCGAAATAGCCTGGCACGCGATATTCCAAGATGCTTGGAATGCCTTACATGTATTGTCCGGAACCACCGGCAGCTCCGTGGAAACTCTTTCGATTCCATGCCGATCTTCAAAACAGAGAACTTTGCCTAGTGCATCGCCGCCTATTACATAATCGCGTACACGTGTGTCGCGCGTACCTATGAAAACCTTTTGCTCGACCGATTCTTTCTATCTCGTTCGCCGGTATACCATACCTATAGTGAATTTGTCGGGGTTGAAACGCATTTTCCAACGAGAACGTATAAACGTTCCGAACCAGCGGATAAAATGTTTCGAGCAATGTAAATTTCAAACGGCGTTGAAAGCGACTGAAAACATTGAAACGATTTGTTTGTTTGGAAAGTTGCGAAAAATATCGTATCGAACGGTGTTACGCGACACGAACATTCGCGAGGTCGAAACAAAAGTTTTGCGTTCACGATACGTGTTACGAAGAACAGAGTCCCGTAGAGTCGATCGAATGGAAGGGACGGGAATGGAAACATCGTGTGTTTGATTCTGTGGATG